CTCGTAGCCCTCGCTCCTTTGTCTCCCGCCGTCATGCTTTTTCTGGTTATACCTGAAGACTCCCTATAGCTGAGGACTTTCCAAACAGTCTGAATTTCAAGAGGGCCGTTATGTGGCTTGGTGGGTGGTAGGCATAATATGCGTCATGGTCATCTTTGCACGAGTTACGCGAGTCATGCGAGCAAAAAGGATGACCATGGCAATGTATAAACCGTCAAAACTAAAGATTTACAGAAAATGAACTAAAAGTTAAAAGAAATGAAATGTGTTAGAGGAGAAAGAAAGCATCAAAACTTACCACCTCCGTTGATGCAGGGCATTCTTGATCTCGTGGAGGTCCACGGCATCGAGTACGCAATCTGAGTGCATCTTGAAAACAAAAAGTTAATAAAACAAATGACATACTTCGTAAATTCTGGAAAACCGCAGATGACGACGAAGTAATTTCGTAATCTCGCATTTGGCGTCGTTCCAGTATTCGTTACAGGACGCGAGCTGCAAAGCCAGAAAAAAAACTGAGAGCGAATGGTGCCCTTACGTTTCTTTTGGGAATGCTCAAAGAATGGACAATGTTACTGTTGACAAGAAGACATGCAAAAAGAACAGACAGAGAAGAGTTGTCTTCTATTTTATGAACTGACTAATTGCACGCCGTAGCCTGTTTTTGTGCGTCCTATGAAATTTTATCCCGCAGTCGTTCCGGTTTCTTGCGAAGTTGTCTGGATCGTTCCGCTCATCATTCTGAGCTAGACTCACCCAAGTTGAGATAAAATTGTTGGAAAAACGTAAAGAGAAGTTATCGAGAAAAACACACTTTTCACTTATAAAAATTTCGCTGTAATCAAAAGAGTAAGCTTCGCGACGCTGTATACACTAATTCAGAACCAATATCTATCGAATGCATGAAGAACCCGCATGAGAAAAACTGAACCGAAGAGCAAACAAGATTTTGAAAAAAAAGGTTTTGGCCAGATTCTCATTCAAAGAAAAATAAAGTGGTTTTGGCGTTCTGAGCGCAAATGTAGAGATCGAGAGCTACAATATGATATACAATCTGTCAGAATTCGATCCAGAACAACGAAGAAAAAGATACTAAAGCCAAGCCCCGTGATCCGCGCTTGGAATTGCGAGGTAGCGCGCAGCATGTGGAGGTGTAGACGAGCAGAAGAGAAAGACGGGAGTCGACGGGACATTCACTGCTTCGACCTCCGCGGGGTCTTGATGAAACCCTGCAATATTAAACATTATTTTGATCGCCATGACACGACTAGAGGCACTGATAACGTCGCAAGACTAATCACTTCTTTACGAGACAAACCAGCACTTTCTTCTGCGACCTTCTGCGGCACGCGGCAATACGCCGGGTCCTGCGGCGTGCGTGGCTGAAGTCACAGTGAATATATACGCTCACGGCAGCACAGCTCAGGTTATGGATGTACTATATTTACTGCACGTTCGTGTTCTCCGAGAGGTTCCTTCACAGCGAGCGAGCTTATATTTTCACTGCGACTGCAACGGGCGTGCTGCGACGTATTATGAAGGAACCCAAAATGGCTGCGCCAAAATCCGGTGCAGCGCCGGGAGCCCATTATTTTGGCTTTGTTCGGATTTTGGTGCAACATGCCCCGATGTGCGAGTGCATTGCCAAATGGCGCTCCAAGCAATCCTCGCGCTCCCTCAGAAACAGACATCGCAATTACAACAGATTTCGAAATACCGTTTAACGGTCGCTTTGTTTTTGATATTTTCAGTGTCTGCATTTTTGAAGCGAGTTATTTGCTATTGCAACCACAAATAGCAATCCACATGCTGCACGCTACCTCGCAACTCCAAGCGCGGGTCACGGGGCTGGCTCTAGTATCTTTTTCTTCGTTGTTCGAGTTCTGACAGATTGTATATCATATTGTAGCTCTCGATCTCTACTTTTGCGCTCACAACGTCAAAACCACGTTATTTTCTTTTGAATGAGAATCTGGCCAAAACCTTTTTTTTCAAAATCTTGTTTGCTCTTCGGTTCAGTTTTTCTCATGCGGGTTCTTCATGCATTCGATAGATATTGGTTCTGAATTAGTGTATACAGCGTCGCGAAGCTTACTCTTTTGATTACAGCGAAATTTTTATAAGTGAAAAGTGTGTTTTTCTCGATAACTTCTCTTTACGTTTTTCCAACAATTTTATCTCAACTTGGGTGAGTCTAGCTCAGAATGATGAGCGGAACAATCCAGACAACTTCGCAAGAAACCGGAACGACTGCGGGATAAAATTTCATAGGACGCACAAAAACAGGCTACGGCGTGCAATTAGTCAGTTATAGAAGACAACTCTTCTCTGTCTGTTCTTTTTGCATGTCTTCTTGTCAACAGTAACATTGTCCATTCTTTGAGCATTCCCAAAAGAAACGTAAGGGCACCATTCGCTCTCAGTTTTTTTCTGGGTTTGCAGCTCGCGTCCTGTAACGACCTCACCTCAATCGACGTTTTGGATAAAGGATCCGAGTAACTACTTTCTTCACTTATAAGTTCCGCTCTAGCTGAGATAATCTTCAACTGGGAGGGATCCGGCCCCACCCTCCCCCTTCCCCCTCCCCCATCGCATCCGCCGTGGAGAAATTGTATATGTTTTAAATTTGGTGTCTAGTTAATAAACCCATAAATTCTGCTGTCATTGAATCTTTTGTATCTTTCCCGCCTGTGCTAGAACACGCTGAATCATGTTAGTCATATACAAACGTGATGTTGAAGCAGGTCAGCATGCTCAGGGATTCGCGCCGTGCGAGAGGTCCTCCTATGGGCACCAGCGCTCAAACGGCCGACATAAATCCAAAGCTTCCGCGCGTGCGGCGAACAATGAAAATTCCGTCTAAGCGGCAGGCAATGTTACCGTCCGATCGGGCGGCAGTACATTTGCCCAAGCGAGCGGCCAGCAATGTGCCCGTCTGATCGGACGACAAAACCCGTGGTCGTGCAAGCGGCCGACAGTGACCTTTATTTTCTCCTCGTAGTTGTCATACGCTGTGAGCCTAAACGGTACCTGTGTGAGGTACGACGCAGCGTTTAGGCTGCCCTTGGTCTGATATGTCTGTATCAGCAGCAATCTTGTTAACCAGGAAGTCGAGGAAGATTTGTGAGTTTATGCATGGTCAAGAGTGTGACTATATATACTCCCAACATGAATTGTTGGACCATGCTGCACGATCCACGCTCTCGGATATAAAGACTAACATATTCAGGGATCAAGGTATCTCGTTAACCCAACAGCGAGCGAGCGGCCCACCTTCCCCGCGCAAGCAGTGAGCGATAGTAACGTACGTGCGCCTTACCTTACCAAGACAATCGGCCCTTGACGAACGCAAAATCGCACACACCGACGAGCGTTTGTAAGGTCGTCGCTGATTGCTCGCACGGCGCGAGTCCCTGAGTGTGTGGAGGTCAAATGTCTCGATTTTACATGTTTGACGATATTTCTTATTTCCTCCACTAAAGAAGTCTAGTCTGACTCGCGTGTCGTCCACTCTACGATTGCTGCTAGTCTTGCTGTGCGCTCTGTCCTCGGCTGCATGGCTAACATGCTATAGGCATTCCCATGCGTTTAGCGGGCGTGGCTACCGACATTATACGTTGATTAACTTTTTCAACCTCCATTTTGGAGTATACGTTTTTGTACTCTCTAGCTGTCAAAACTGGCACGCACATACATTGGCAAACGCCGGCAAAGCTCCGCGTGCTTACTGCGAAAAGGACGACAGCAATATGTAATGTTGGCAAGAGCAACAACCTGTGGCAAGAATGTGGGCTGTGGGCATTGAGTTCAACATGTTGCATGCGTTCCGGCGTGTGGCCAACATTTAGCCATGCGTGCCGCATGTCACAGACGAAGTGGGGCGGGGAGGGGGGAGGGGGCAGCAACTGTGAAGTAGAGCATCGGTGCCGGAACCTGACACCAGAAATTGGCGAATACTCTTGAAAGGTTCTGATAACCATTCAGTAAGTTTCGACCCGTTTTGAGTGGAAATTGGATTGGCGGGCGTTCGCCTTGCAATGGTTCGCGCCGTGTCGTAACTATAGACCGTATGGTCAGGGAACCAAGTCTGGGTCTTTTCAATCTCCTTAGTCTTTGCTTGGCAAAAAGCCGGCGCTATGCACTCCAGCGATGCGCACTTGCTGCTTTAGAATGTTTCGCCATATTCGGGATAGAACCGGATGTATATGACAACGTGCTAGTGCTGTGCGAATGTGTTTGAATCTTAATCTGAATCTACCGGAGTCCAAATCTCTTGAGTTTGCGAAGTGTGCTACAGGGCTTCTCAACTGCAGTGTCGGATGCACCAGCATCTCCGCTCCTGCTCGGCAGGTTCGCCTAGACTCTACACCTCTTTCGCGAACATGCCCTCCACCTTCCCAAGGAAAGCATGGGAAAGGCTGAGCCTCAGTCGATTGGAAATGGTCGGAGAGCATGTTCGCGGAAAAGACGAGGAGTCCAGCGCGGAAGTGAAGATGCGCACGTGACATTGTAATTTAAGCACTGTACATTTGAGGTGTCAGATACTTTGTATAACAAATTATCGCTATTTGTTTTATCATGCGCAAAGATAAGCGGATCTAATGCCTGTTATTCGAAACCTCATATCAAACGCATTCACATCGCTTTTGACTAAAAATGATGCCCTATTCAAACTTTGTGCAAAGAGTTTGCTGATATAAGAAACTGCGAGCCGAAGTTTGTATTCAAAGTGATTTAGAGTCTATTTTCTGGGATCATAAACGCCAAGAAAAGATGGCTGCAACCGTTTGTTTTTCAAAACACGTTCTGTGATCAGTAGGAATGACATAGATGTGGGACTCGGCACGTTGGCATCAGGAAATTCTCTCAAACGAAGTTTACCAAAAATTTACGACGTACACTAAAAGTGTTCTGAGGTATGGCCTCAAAACATTATGTAAGGAAGGGCAGTACAAAGTCACATTGTGCGGAAAACTTAGTATGACATAATTATTTATTTTATTTGCGATTCATCATCAAAATGTCTTCTTTGTCTCCACCATTTCTCGGTAGATTGAGTCTTTGTTTGCGAGAAGATTTTCTGGTGTGTCATATTCAACCACAATTCCGTCCTCGAGTACCAGTATTCTAAAAAACGTAGGATTTGCATCACTGATCTGCTCAATCATTCCGCAGTAGCGATTAGAACATGCGGTTTTATTCCTACCTATCGCAGTCGCCGATTGTCTCCAGCTTGTGAGCTATAGTGATCGTTGTCGCACTTCGGAATTGCACTCGAACAACCTATGACATCACGGTGCACCAAATATTAGAGGCATAACACACATAAGATAACACACATAAATAACCTTCTTATTTCACGTGTGCAAGCCTAATCCGTCGAAAAGATGTGGGAAGGCATGAAACAGGTCTTGCATGCAACCTTCCATCTGATAATCTCTACAACTCCTTGCGTCACGCTATGGCGCGCGGAAATAATTTAAGGCTTGCGTACGTGAAGATAGAATACCCAACTTAACGACTAATACCTCATTTACTAGCTTCTGTGTTGCATGGTCCAGCGAGGCCGTGGCCTCGTCCAGTATCAGTATTTCGCCTCCTTCCAAAAGAGATCGACAAAGACATAGCAGTTGCCTTTCACCGAGACTGAAAAGTAGGTCGGAGTGACTCAAAGGGCAGCTGGAAGGAGATGAGCGAAGGGGGCTGGGAAGAGACAAAAAAGTAGCGCGAAAATATGTACAGGATTTACCAAAGGTCTTTGAGCCTATTTTAGCTAAAAGTGAACGAAGTAACATGGAGTGGATACATGACATTCAGCGGATGATTATGCGCTAGTGCTGTCATATTGCATCTTTTCCGTACTTTATTGCGTTGAACACATGGAGGCACTAGCGCTGCATCGAATACCTGAAAATCAGTGAACCTTCTAAAGGCACCGTCCAACCAAAATGGGGTTGGTGAGGTTTCGATCCCTGACAGCTGCGGGGCCCCCACTGTATAACTGCCTTACTCGCGCCGTAAAGTTGCTTCCGAAGCAAGAAAATTGCTTCAAAAATCTTTCGCAAGACAGATTCTCCACGTTGGCTCCTCCCTGGGCGTACTCTCGTCCCGCCCACTCAGTGATTACGCCCACGCCTGATGATCCTGCTTTATTATCTTCGTCCGCTGAATTATATCTGGTTTTGAGAAAATGCCTATACGTCTTGTTCTTGATAAAATAACTTTCGAGCTTAGATTTAGAAGAATTAGCGACTTGCTGGCGGAAGTAACGCGCCCAAACCACGATTTGAATGACCTCATCTCCAGACATGCTTTCACTTTATCTAGCGTTGCCCAAACCGACTGGAAGAGGATCGTGGTTACGGCGTTTGCATGTTTGTTCTATCGTGAACATTTTCTCAACCGTGAAAAGCTGTCTTGACGGACACACATCATGCGATGTCATCGAATTGTGACTTTTTCGATTAGACAACTGTCACAACATCGTTGCATGCCGATTAACCTGCATTTCGGTTGTGTAGCTCTCCGTTGTGACTAATCGCTGACCGGTTTTCTCAGGGCATACTTCATTCGTCGAAATTGTCGCAATTCATCTCAGCGATATCGCATCGCTGACTACAAACGAGCTATGCGACCGAATTGCTGAGCATGAACTTCTTTTTCAAAAGCTTCATGACTGTTTAGATAGGGCTGTTTTCTTTTTTAAGATTTCAAAAACTAGTCCATTTTTGCCTGCTTGCGTTGTTTCTCCATAATTTGATGTCATCGTTCTTGCTGAAACTTGGCTCAGGAGCTATTTGACATGCTGTCCACGAATGTCATACTTCTGCATTTTGGGGCCTTTTCGTGAAGTTACGATTAGTATATGGTAGGGGAGCGGGTCAAAATCCTAGATATGGATGAAATTCGGTTTAGAAGGTTTATGCAACATGTGATCACTTATCTCATACTCTTCTTGCATTATGGGACCTTTTCGCGGAGTTACGGTAGGTATAAGGTAAGGAGTCCAAACCATGGATTTTCTTGAAACTTTGTGCAGAGAAGTTGCATGAAGTGCTGATCAGACATCGATCTGCTCGCTTCGTTGTAGAAACCTTTTCTTGAAGCTCTTGAAACTAATTTGACCCAAAAAGCGAAATTTCATTACTGCACTGCAGTACCATAACTATCAATGCAGCGAGCAATGAATGCTATTCGTGATCAGCATGCTTGAAAACTCTTCTAGGCAAAGTTTTGAGCAAGTTTGCAACTTTGACCCACTTACCGCTATCCCGAAAAAATGTCTCCATCTCGATTCAAATTCGCGCCGTTTAACTCTTTAGACGAAATTTAGAGGAAGTCCGTAATCTTGACATCATACCGTATAGTTACCGTAAATCATGGAATGGTCCTCACATGCAAAAAAAATATTATAGTCGTGATCTAAAACAAGTAACTTCTTGGAACGAATTTACGCAAAGTTCACGGCTTCGAAACCTTGGGTCCCAAAAAGTGAAACAGGGCTCTTTTGGTTGAAGTCGATTGTAGCATATTGAACCAAGGTTAAAAATGGAAATACGACTAAAGTAGGAATGATCGATCTGCAAGTGGAATAAATATGGCTGAACGTAACAAGAGCTTCCGTTTGGAATGTTTATCGTGTGCTCGAGTGTGAGAATGCACGGGTCGCTGCAGAAGTATGCCCACGAGAGTAGCCAGCGATTCAGTTGCTGCGTTTTCGGCGTTACTTCCAGCATCGGTACGTCCAGAAATCGCTTTACTTTATTCTCTCACTACGCTTGCAAATTGTATGTATTAACACGAGCAGAAATCATTCCTTCATAAAATTTTCAAGTGTCTTGCACCATGCATATATACTTTGGAAAGTCATGCAAGCTAAACACTAACCGAAACGGTCAACGCTTTAGCAAGCAACTTAGGCCTCAAATAGCAACAGTATGGATGAAAGTTTGCTGGATGGACGAACTTTTGGCCAAGTGTTTCAGGCGCAGGACTATATTGCAATACAAAAAAAAACTCGAAGCGTTGTTCGTGCTCATTCACCTGCTGACTGCAAAAGCTAAAGTGATACCTGATGTTTTTTCCACTTTCTTCAATCTCTGCATAAAGGCCGTCTTTTTGCTTTGTTACCATCTCTTTCAATTGGCAAGCCTCAAGCGCCACCCAAATGTCGCTGTCTGCGAACTGATTGAAGGGATCGACATTGAATCGAAGAGTGGACGAAAATAAAATTGGGTCCTGTAACGCAAACTTTTTTCTTCATTTGCAAAAAAATGCGTCAGCCTGTTTGCTACCTGCGGTATAATCGTGATCCTTGACCTCAGCTCGTGTAGACCCAGTTCTGCGATGTTCACACCATCTATGAACACATCGCCTTCAGTTTTTTCCACTAATCGAAGCAAGCCTTTGGCAATCGATGATTTACCTGCAGAAGTTTCGGATTTGTAAAAGTAATCGATTAGCAAGCACTAACCGGATCCAGTGCGTCCCACTATGGCGATCTTTTCGCCACCTTTTACGGTAAAAGTAGCATTTTTTACAGCACAATTCTTATCTTTTCCGTAACGAACACTGAATCCGCGAAACTCTATTGAGCCTTCATATGGCCACGCATCGATGAGAGGATAGTCTGATGTCCACGGCGCCTCAATGGTGATGTTTGCTTATATAAATGATATCTAACTCAGATATTCAGCAAAGCAAATCTCAGAAATATTACCTCTTGTTCTATCTCATGATACTCTTTGATACGCTCAACTGCTACGATATTCGCTTCACTGAGAGCCATCATACGTACAGAAAAATTTAGCAAATCAGTTAACTGAAAGAGGACAGACTGTTTGAAGTAAAATAATTTGATACAAATGGGGACTGAAATAAGGGACAGTTGATTGTTTTTTTGTAAGCTTTGACTCATCCATAACAAAAAATAATTTAAACGTTTCACTGCCACATTTTCACTTTTCTCAATCAATTTTTCCCGCTATCATCCTTCACCACGGGTGGTTACTTATTTTTAGTGGCAACTATCCTTTCGCTAGCTTTATCAGTATTTTTGTGTGTTCATCCACTTGTGAGCTCAAATAATATTAAAAAGTGATTTTTCTTTTTCACTATGTCAGGTATATGACTGTTTTTTGTCTTAACGAATTTTATGGTTTTCTACGACTCACGCTCAAAGCATAGGATACGCATAATCCCACTTCTCCGGGTGTAATGAGAGATAGATCGTAAAAGAAGGACACCAATGCCGAGCAGCCTAGCACCTGTAAAGTAACAAAGAGTCATGGATGATGTGTGAACAAAATCTCTGTACCATGACACTTCCAAGAAATTCCAGTCTCAGAGACAGCCATCTGCTCGTAGCCGGTGTGAGGTAGCGACAGCGAATAAACGAATCAACGTCGTCATGAAACGCCAACGTTGTATTCTTTACCTAAAGCATATTTACGGATCTTACGAATTTAAAATTAAGGTACCTATTTCCATGATTACTGTTATGAATTAGTTGCTTACCCTCCGGTATGCTCTGATACTCTCTGCTCCATTGATATTCTGCGACAATGTCGACACAAGCTGAGATCGCTGAGCGCTTTCAATTCTTTTGATTTGCCGATTCGTTGGTAAAAAATATCTCTGGAAGGTCGGTGAAAATGAAAGCGATAGTGAGTACACCAAATGCATGATTACTATTAGGCTAGTGCATGAATAATACCCTTCTAGGCCTACTTTCCAAACAGTTTTTTCCTTTGAGTTTCTTTTTCGGTATATTCTGCATATCGTTGCATGATGTTCCATGTTCGACTTTCAATGAACCTTGGCATATCGAATTAGTTGCTTTTTTGATTGAGCCGACACCAAGATAATTATAGCATTTATTCGGCTAACGTTTCGGCCTAGTCGCCTTCGTCAGAGCCTATAAAGTGAGAAACATAGGAATCAACCTCTCAAACATCTTATCACTTGCAGGAAAAAGTCCAAGAAGTTGTATAGACTCCCGTCAAAGCCAAGAACTATTAGCTCATCTTTTCTTTGTCAGAATGAGGTAAAACCACCGCTGACTGGGATGCGTAACAATGAGTGAGGCAAGTCTCTGGAGGCTATGCACAGATCAAAACTTGCATAACTCCATTAATGGCGCGAGCTCAGTTGTTACGGTGGTGCATTCTTCTTTTCTGTTCATTTTGGGATTTCGAGATAGAATCCAGCACGCCTCGACCGAGGTGTCAGCACGACTTTCGTGCTGACACCTCGGTTTTCCGTGACAGAATGTTGACCGAAACATCGAATTCCGTGTCCTGGTGACATAGCTTGCGATGTGTGCCCAAGGGTGTTGATAGTCTTGTTCTTCGCAATCCGTCTATGTGTCCCCTGATCCTAGCACATAAAGGCCTTCCCGTCTCTCCCACATATTCCTCCCTACATAGCTTACGAGTAATGAAATAAACCGTACCAGAGCGCATGCAATCCCCGTTACTATTTGTTGCGCAAATTACGCAATCAGGAACGCTACATGCTTGGTCATATGCCCATTAATGGAGTTATGCAAGTTTTGATCTGTGCGTAGCCTCCAGAGACTTGCCTTACTCATTGTTAGCGCATCCCAGTCAGCGGTGGTTTTACCTCATTCTGACAAAGAAAAGATGAGCTAATAGTTCTTGGCCTTGACGGGAGTCTATACAACTTCTTGGACTTTTTCCTGCAAGTGATAAGATGTTTGAGAGGTTGATTCCTATGTTCCTCACTTTATAGGCTCTGACGAAGGCGACTAGGCCGAAACATTAGCCGAATAAATGCTATAATAATCTTGGTGTCGGCTCAAAAAAGCAATCAATTCTGCATATCACTGGAAAGCTTTCCTCATGTACTTTCCAAAAGTGGTGAAACTAAGCTTCTATCTCATCTGTGAGAATTTCACCAGTATCTCGCACAGCCTGCACTCAAAGTCGAAATTTTGTTGCTTTAACTTCCCTGAACACAAATCACGCTTAAACGAACGAATTTTAATTTGAAAACATAGCATCTATAGGGGATGAATCGCTTACCCATTGTATGTTTAAATGATTTTTCGAAAATATCTGGACTGAGAAACGACGCCCCCAAGATAAGTACTTGCTGTTGGGATAAGTACTTGCTGTTGGCATTCTACGGGTCAAAAATTTCCCATAAGGCAATCGCCAAAGCTTCGGTCTTCCTGTAAGCTTGACATTAGGACATCTTGCCTGCAATTTTTGCAGAGAAACTCAGCTATACATTGCATGACGAATCCCAAATTTTCATAATTTGGGACTTTCAAGCCTACCAAAAACAAGCTCAAAAAGGTGGACAGTTTTGGAGTGCATTATTTCTTTTCGCAGAACACATATACTCTGGCTTGCAGCTACAAAATGAGCTGATTGTCAGCTATAGGAACAAGACTTGAAAGGAGTTGTAGGGTTTCAAAAACGAGGTCTTCAAAAGAGAACCTTTCGGTTGTTGATGATGATTTTCTTCCCGTTTGCGCTATCAGTATGAGCAGGTGTGCGCTAAGTTACGAAAGGCTTCTGATTCTAATGGTTTTGACTATATACAAAAACAAAACTGAACAAAGAACTTTTCAAAGTGAAACTATTCAAAACGGAGATTATTTTTGCACCAGCCTAATACATATTTATTATGGCAACTTTAGCACCTCAAAGAGCTCAAGAAATGAAGAGACTATCATTTCTACAAGCATATTTGCTAGAAACGCAACTCCAAACTGTCTGTAGGGTGAAGACAAGGTATGAAGAATAATATCTCATTTCCGTAGTGTGCTAACAAATCCGGAGAAAATTGTCACACAGCCTAATTCTCGCTTGTCAGAATCCAGAATGAGTCCGCCAAACCGCCGTGTCTTTAATGCTCAGAAGCTCAAAAAAGAAAATGGTCATGATCGCAGTACTCCAGTCTAGCGCCATGACGCTTTCATTTTTTTTACCCCCGGAAAAAAACTTTTTAGCTTTCAATCATTGAGCGCAAATGCTGGTCTGTTTCAGAATCGAGGTAGAAACGCTACTCACCAGAATCAGAATATAGCCAACAGTGAACGGTACGACGAGAACGATATATGCAGGCATTGTTAAACTGATGATAACAAGAATCATCACAATCTGCAATCAAAAATTTTAAAAAACAGGCAAGCAGAGAAGGGATTTTCTAACTTACATGAGCAAGAGTATCAATCACGAGTCGAAGGTTTATAGGCAGCGACGTGTCGATGATATCGATGTCCTATACACCCACGATTTAAAAAAGAAAAGCAAATGTCAATGTTTCGCTCACCCCTGCTAATCTGCTAAGAATTCTTCCGAGGGGTGTTTCCTCGAAAAATGAGATAGGAGCGTGCATTAGTGACTCCACCAGTGGTTTGTGTAATACGATGGAAGCTCGTACCCCTCCAAACGTTGAAGAAGTGAATGTGATAACATTCAGAAGCACTAAAGTTGCTGTGTCCAATAAGAATAGTCTTTACTAGAAGCTAACCAGTGGCAAAACCGAGGGCAACGTATATCAAGAGACCAGTGATTGTGTCAGCGCTATCGCTCAACTTGGAATTCGCATCCGCCCAGTGGGATAGATAAATACCGTTCGCCGCCTGAAAAGGTACTCTTATTGGTCATGGTCCCACAATTCTCCAAGTTAGAACCTGCATGGCATAGCGAGATGCCAGTAAAGCGAGGAAGACGAACGCCCATGCGTACGAGAAGGCCTTCAGATACATGAGGTAAACATTTCCTTTAATCTGAAAGGATATTGATGTTATACACAAATTTTACAGTTGTGATTCTCAAAAGCAGCACTGTTAATGTTCTCAGTATGGTAGCGTATTGTATCTTTTATCGTGCTGCATGAAATAACACTATTGATGATATATTAGGTTGGTGCAAAAGTTCTTGCGCACGATTTTCAAAAAATTCATAACTTGTTGAATTCTCAACGAAACTGCAAGATCTAATTTTTGCATAAGAGAAGAACTCATGCTCTTTGCAACTGTGCTTGTTCGTTAATGTGTACAAACGAAGGAGATAGAAGCTCAAAACCGAAGTCACTCAAAATTTGAATTTTTCGTGTAGGGTCATAAAAAATCGGTGACCTGCCACAAAAATCGGAGCAGCCAGTATTATAGGTTCTTTTACTAGCTCTTTCTGACAGTGCAAAGTTTGCGCCGATTGAGGGTTTCTACGAAAAGTTATGATTTTCGAGCAAGCAATACAAAAGGGCGAATTTGATTTATTTTGGCATTTTTCAGGGAATTCATAATTTTTCACAGAGACGCTCAATCGGCGCAAACTATGCACTGTCAGAAAGAGCTAGTAAAAGAACCTATAATACTGGCTGCTCCGATTTTTGTGGCAGGTCACCGATTTTTTATGACCCTACACGAAAAATTCAAATTTTGAGTGACTTCGGTTTTGAGCTTCTATCTCCTTCGTTGTACACATTAACGAACAGTTCAAGCATAGTTGCAAAGAGCATGAGTTCTTCTCTTATGCAAAAATTAGATCTTGCAGTTTCGTTGAGAATTCAACAAGTTATGAATTTTTGAAATGCGCAAGAACTTTTGCACCAACCTAATATATCCTACCAAATAACACCCTTTTCAACATATCCTTTTGACCCAAGGAGACATCGCACATATTAGGTTGTCCCAAAAGTTTTGTCCGTTTTTTTCGTCGCTCACTAAAACTCTCAGAACACCAAAAGTACCGAGAATTCCAAATGCTGCTTCTTCAAGCACATCAATCTTGGTCATGTTGCGTAAATAATGTTTAATAAGAATCATGCTTCAATTTGCAGAATCTTCAAAGCTTCCGTGTATTTGCTGCATTTGCGTGTTCCATGAGTTTGCCAAAAATCGAGCTTTCCGAAGAAATAATTTTTTGGAACCAACAGCAGAATAGCAAAACTGAGAATGTCACCTCGTAGTCCAAGAGCTACCCATCTAATTCATCTTAATCTTTTCCGAAATATTGTAATGAAATTTTTGAAAATTAGCCTAACTTTAAGAATATAAAAAACGGGTGGGGAATTCTGGCAATTATCAAAAAAAAGCATACAAGATTGTGGTTCGAAAATAATTTTTAACAAAGGAAATGAACAGCTGCATCAAATGCTTGTTGGAACTAGTTCAGTCTCTACTGCGCGTGGTTTTGAAGCCGTTCAAAAAAAAACAGGCAAAACATTAACAAAGCAAACAACAGACATTACAAAAATTTCGGGACGACCTAATACTATTAGGTCGTTCCGAAAGTAATGTCGCTTTTTTTAAAGGTACACCACATCTCGTGGAACAAAGGTTTGTAAGAGATCCTGGAAGCATTCGATGCAGCATTTCATCCCCTTTCTAGAGGTTATATTATCATTGCATAATACTCAATGAGCTCTCGAAAAATTACCAAAATCTACAACTCATGCTTTTTGCCATACTCAAGTTCGGTTATTTTTCTAAATTTTTGTACTGACTCCCCGAAGAAGTGCAAGTAATGTACAGATAGAGCAAACCCTATAGGATACGAAACAACTTTTTTCTTTTCCTCAGCTCGCCTCTTAGAATTTCTGAAACCAATTTTTTAATGCTATCAAATTCCATATTTGATCAGCTAAAACCTCACAGAACAAAAACCGGCGAGCAAGTTGGGTGTCATTCGACGCAGCTTTTTCTCCTCTTTCTACCAGTTGTTTTTGGTTTCCGATTTATAAAGTTTTCCGAGATAAAATCATCATAATTCAGTTTCTCCAGGGCGTGCCAGGCTGTACCCGAAGTTTCCGAAAGTTGCTAATAGGAAGCGGTAAACGCTCATTTGCTTCGTGAAATTAATGTAAAACCATAATTCATCTTTGTAAGTTTCAAAATCCGAAGATTCATTGGTGTTTGATGCATTTGTGTCTGCGACGAGCCTGCTAAAATTCGGTGGTTCCAATAAAAAATTTATACAAAAATTATGAAGAACTATGGAAAGTAGGAAAAAATGATGCTGTTTCCTGTAGGGTTTCCTCTATCCATGCATTACTCAAACTCCTTCCGAGGGTTGTTACAAAAATGTAGAAAAATTGGGAAACTTGATCTTCTCAAAAAGCATAGGTCGCAGATTTTTGTAATTTTTTGGAAGCTCATTGATTATTATGCAATGACATTATAACCACTAGAAAGAGGATAAAATGCTGCATCGAATGCTTCCAAGATCTCTTACAAACCTTTGTTCCACGAGATGTGGCGTACCTTCGAAAAAAGCGACATTACTTTCGGAACAACCTAATATTAGGTTGGTCCGAAAGTTCTTGCGCACCATTTTCAAAAAATCATAACTTCCTTGACAGTTGATGGATTTCGTTGGGATTACATGTATTCGAAAGGAGAATCCATGCTCTTTACAGCAGTACCACCGGCATGAATTACCCTGGAAAACTTCAAGAGTTAGAAGCAGTTGAATAAAATCAGTCAAGATTGGCATTTTTCGAGCTGGGTCACGAAAAATTCTGATAGTATTTTTATTTGATAGAGAAAATTATGCTCATTACAATGGTACCTTTTTCATGAATTAAAACGAAAAAGATCGACGGTTAGGAGCAAATAAACAGAATCTTTAGTTTTGCAGTTTTTGAGCATGCTCAAAAACTGCAAAACTGAAGAAATTCTGTTTATTTGCTCTTAACTCTCGATCTTTTTCGTATTAATTCATGAAAAAGGTACCATTGTAATGAGCATAATTTTCTCTATCAAATAAAAATACTTTCAGAATTTTTCGTGACCCAGCTGGAAAAATGCCAATCTTGACTGATTTTATTCAACTGCTTCTAACTCTTGAAGTTTTCCAGGGTAATTCATGCCGGTGGTACTGCTGTAAAGAGCATGGATTCCCCTTTCGAATACATGTAATCCCAACGAAATCCATCAACTGTCAAGGAAGTTATGATTTTTTGAAAATGGTGCGCAAGAACTTTCGGACCAACTAATATATATCAACAAATCCTAAATCACAAAGAGGAGATGACGTTTTAAAACCATAAAGCTCACGATCAGGTGGTCTTGGATTAAAGTTCAAAATAAGTTATGTGGCAGTGTAGATAAAATTTGGCTGGGCCTCCCTTCAGAATCTCTCTTTGAGGCCAAGTTGCTACGCCAATCTATCGTTTGCGAGAGAAAGGATTTGAGTCAATTAATTGTTTTCCGATTGAGTACAAGTCATTTCTCGCTTTTTCTTTTAAATGTGATGCCCTATCTTGTGGATAAGTTCGTTTTTCTGATTTGGATTTCTTTCGTTCTAAAGTTGTTTCTTGCAAGATGGCAAAAAAGCAAAGTTCTTTTGGTGTTCGGCACTCTTTTAGATGTAAAAACTGCCAATCACTCTTTTTTGATTTTAACCGCCACAGCACTTCAAGTTGCAAGGTTCTAAACTCTGTTGTTTTCTACTGATAGAAAAATTTGACTTACAGCTCCTTCAGCGACAGCTTCAACACGTCTTGTTTCTGCTGGTTGCTGGGGCTCGAACATGACAGTCTTTGGTCGCTTATGTGGTTTGGCTGAAACAGTTGCAGTAATGTGGCAGAAATGGGAGCCATTCAAATTTTTGCCATAGATTTTGAGGTCTATGCCAGTGAGGATTTACTGAAGACGATCTCTAACCAGATGTTTCAACTTCTGTCTCCTCTTTTTCTGCTTCATCTCGCTCACGTTTTAGTTGACTGAATGTTTCGCTTCTTTCCAAAAGTTCTTCGTGTGTCCCTCGATCAACAATTTTTCCAGCTAAACCAGATTATGACAAATACATTGAAGTCTAATTTAGCAAAGTCTACTCACAATCCATAACATGTATCATCGTTGCTTTCTTCGTAAAGGAAATTGTGTGAGTTACGAAGATAACAGTCTTCCCCGAGAGAAGACCGTTTTCGCCAAATAACTGGTAAAATATGTCATTAGCTTGAGTACACAAATGGTTGAATCTGTACCTTTTCATACATAGATTTTGCCACAGTTGCGTCTACTGCTGAGAAAGGATCGTCTAGCAGGAGAATGTCACAGTCCTTAAAGGCAGTGTCCGGGCAAAAAGTCGATTTTGAGATTTTGTGCTTACCCGGGCCTATTCACTATGCTGAATCCGAAAATCCACATTGGAAAGCGCAAAAACGGCAAAAAAGGGCTCTAACGCAGGAGGGAAATCGAAAGTGGGCGGGGTCTTCCCCACTGTGAATTTTGCAGTCCCAGCTTCTGGAGCGATCTTCCCAATTCCTCTAGCGCCCTGAAATCTCCACCGGCCAGGTGCGAATGCATGACTTGAAATTGGAACCGAGAAGATCGCTCTGGAAGCTGGGAGCGTGATTTCACAGTGGGGAGGACTCCGCCCACCTGCTGATTTCCCTCCTGTGTTAGAGCAGTTTTTCGCCGTTTTCGCACTCTCCAATGTGCATTTTCGGATTCAGCGTAGCGAATAGGCCCGGGTAAGCAAAAAATCTCAAGATCGAGTTTTTGCCCGGACACTGCCTTTAAAGTATAATTATGTCTTTGTAGGTCACTCCTCCGGATGGTATCATTGCTCATAAGGGCTTCGAAAAATTCAATATTTCTCATTGTCCAAGACGTCTATGTATAGCACTGACAGCGGGAAGCTATAGCTACATAGTATAGTATTAGAATGAGTCATAGTAAAGAATTTCACATTCTTGGATTTATATTCATATCAGATAGAAAAGCGACAGACCAGCTTTGAACTTTCACCAGCGCAGTTTTTCTTCTTCTTTCCACCAGCTATAATTTTTAACCAAATCTTTCCATATGCCTTGGAATAATCGCAGAAGTTTTGAATTCAAAGCGTCTGCCTTTGAAATTCTATGCGGGTGATTGTGTATAAAAGTTTTATATTGGTAATATTTTGAGCGGTAGACACTTAGTTAATTTGCGAAAGCAAATTAGGATTTTGAAACGACCTTCAAAGCTCGTGAATTCCAAAACTTTAAAGAATTCAAAGCATTTTTTTTTCTACGCGCAACTCTTTAGAAACTCAGGCTATTCGAAAAAGATCATTCCAGAAAGCTCCCAAAGACTAGTTCCGAATGACCCAAGAAAGATTTGCCCTGAACGAGTTTGCCTCGTATATACTCTGATTTTTCTCAGAAATTTGAAATGAAAATCTTGAGGATCAGCAAAATTTTTACGAATCAAAACAATAAGGTCAAAATTTTAGAAATTTCTTCAGCAGTTTTAGAAATGGTTAGAAACATCAATCAAAAAAGAAAGAAAGCTGCGTCCAACGCAGTTTAGAGTGCATGTCTATCATTATTCTACCCAACTTAGAAAGTTTAAAATGGAGTGAAATAGTTCGCAGTACCTTTGATTCAACTGATATACTAACTTCCTGTTTTTGAACATGCGAGAAAGGTGACCATTTGTACCAAATTGTCAATGCCTGTTGCACAGCACACCAGTTTTACTGTGTGTCACGGTAAACCACCACAAACAAAGTTCAATAAAGGTTTACGCTAGATCAAATTACATAGCATGGATAATGCTTCGCAAAACCCCTAATAAATCAAGAAGATTATATTTTCACAGCAGCTCTGCAGTTCAAAGGCAGCGTTCAGGCAAATCTGGAGTATGGGGCTCTCACGTGGATAGTAATCTTGGGGTCCCAACTAAGCCTCTGCCCAACCGGCAGCTCAGGTAGTGCTCTAACGGCTGAGATATTCCCCTCGAAACTGGACCCCGCGATCGTATTTCGCATGGATTCATGGCGCAAAGCGTGGATCCTGGCGCGAAAGTGCCATGAATCCATGCAAATACGATCGCGGGGTCCAGTTTCGAGTGGATTATCTCAGCCGTTAAAGCACTACCTGCGCTGCCGCTTAGGCAGTGCCTTAGATAGGGCCCCAAAAGTGCTTTCCACGTAAAATCCTTATAGGTCCAGATCTTTCTGGACTCTGCCTTCAAGTAAACTATCGAGATATGATTTGTCTGAACGAGGCATCTTTTTCGCTCAACATTCTGGTCGCAAAATCTCATGATAGTCATTTTGTGGTCAAACTCGCCATCTATGAAGTCTCTCCGTGCCACTTAATTTGATCTTTTGCTTCTACTTTCTCTAATATCTATTTCATCCAAATTTCGTTGTCAGCAGTCAGTTCTTCTTGAAAACTTCGCTACCACCAGCATCTAAAAGCCAAAAGCATTCTCGCCTCATAGTTAAAAATTTACCTGATAGAGGGCTCTTGCCAAGCACACTCGCACTCGTTGTCCTCCTGACAGTTTCGTGCCCTGAAATACGAATAAGTCTAAAATCACTTCTTTTCCGGAACTCGCCTTTAGCAATTTATGGGAAGACTTCTAAACTTACGTTTTCTCCCAGCATTGAAGCATCGCACCGTGGTAATGCGAAAATGTCTTTCTTAAGCTCACAAGCGCGTAAAACCTGAGATGGCAAATTCAGTAGATACTTGGGGATTTTATCTTCATTGCAAATATGACCTTATCATATCTGTTACGTTCGTAGTCCAGGCCGTACAGAATATTTGCTCTCACAGTTTGATTGAGAATCCATGCCGATTGTGGCACATAGGCTACCGTACCACCAACCTTTCGCAAACCATCCAGTTGCGTCATTTCACCTTAAGATTGTTTGAGTCCTTAAAAACTTTAGACGTAATGTAAAGTGGAACAACAAGGGTACTGTTAAATCAAGATTAGCTTTTCTCTATAATATGTTTATCACCTAATATAGCTGCCAGCAATGATGATTTCCCACTGCCAACCGGTCCAACAATGGCATGCCATTCTCCTTCCTGGACGTTCAAATTGATCTGAACAGTCTCTATAGAAAACATATGTGTTGACAAACTTTTTAATTAACTACTCACATCCTTCAAATGTTCCTTTTCCTTTCCCCATGAGAAAAAACAATGTTCCAAAGAGATTGAAGCCGGTTCCTCATTCACCACATTGTGCTTAGTTTCAAGCTCATCAGCTTTTAAGAAGTCTTTGATTCTTTTGCTGCACACCAGCGCCTGAGTAAATATTTTTAAAAGTGTTTTTCTCAGGATCAAATTCCATCTCCAGGGCTCGGCACAGGTGGCTATGAGCAAGCTGGATATCGTTTTTGGAACAAACAAAGAAGTTTTCAAATTCCATGTACGACTTTCGGTGAATCTTGGCATATTCAGAGTATCCTTTGTAAAATGTCTAAGCCTTCACCAAGATTGGTATAACGTTTATTAGGCTAACGTTTCGGCCAACTCGCCTTCGTGCTCTGGCGTCATATACCTGATTACATGCAAATTATGCGGGGCTGAGTACATAGGAGAAACGGGAAGACCACTGTGCCTGCGGATAAAAGAACACTTGGACGGGTTGCGCAAATCAAGGCTCTCAACACCCCTAGGCACGCATCGTAAGCTGCAGCACCACAACACAGAATTCGACGTCTCAGTGTCAATTCTGTCTAGAGAAACAGAGGTTGCGGCACGCAAAACATTAGAGGCCTGCTGGATTTCGAATAGAAATCCGCAGATGAACAGAAAAGACGAGTGCATTGCCATAACTAATGAGCTCGCGCCATTCCTTGACTTATGCGGGTTTGACCTACCACCTCCAAGTCAGGAACCCTAACTCATTCAGTCATTGTATGTCACTCGGTGGTGGGTGGTCTCGACCTCAAGTTTAAGGTGAGCTGTTCGACCTAGGTGTCGTTTCGTACAACTTTTTTTTCTTTTTCCTGCAAGATGACAAGGCGTTTGGGCGAGTAGATCTCATATGTTACTCACTTATTACAGGCTCTGACGAAGGCGAGTTGGCCGAAACGTTAGCCTAATAAACGTTATACCAATCTTGGTGAAGGCTTAGACATTTTACAAAAGAAGTTTTCGTTTTTGTGGCTGAAAAAACACAACTTAGGTTAGGTTTTTTTAGTCGGCGTTTCGTTTTTGAGGGTGTCTTACGTTTAGGGTCTAGAGTCAAAGGGAACTTCGTAAAATTTGACAAAAGTCAAGGAGGACTTCGTTTTTTTGCATTTTCGAAAGGCCACTTCGTGCCGAGCCATGTCCACGTGTCTCTATGACTTTTTTAGATCACACAGACTCCCATTTATTAGGACATTCAGATGAGAATAACTGAGAAAAGATTTGAAATTTCTCTAAAATTTTCTTCTCTATTTTTTTCTTAAATTTCTTCTGATCATCACATGCTAGTAATTCAGATAAAAGAAAACATAATGAACCAACCTTGGTGATATGCTGGACAGAAGGTGAGAGTAACGCCATAGGACGACGAAGTTGATTGAAAACTGTCAGTGCAACAAAGGCAATGGATGGTGTCAGGATATTTTTTGAAGAAGACAGCACGAAGGTGGTGAAGCAAGCTATCGCTACCTTAAGTGCATTTCAAGATTACTGTAACCGTAAAAAAACATTAAACGCTTTGTAGAATGACTAACAATGAAGGGCGCTGCAGAATTGATGGACTGCAGAATTCTCAGAACAAGGGTAGCATTCCTGAGTAGCTTGACTTCTTCTTTTCGGATGCTACTAATTTTCTTCTCAAACGCCTCCTCCCAAGCGTACATCTTTACGACAGACATTCCGTGGACTACCTAAAGTGATGTTTAGGATACGTATTGAAAATGTGAAGAAGGAGTATTGTAGATCAGGCAATCAAAAAGGATCCAAGTTGTAAGGTTCGGCGCCTTCAATAAACTGAATTGGACATTATGTAGATTAGTAAGTCCTACAATAGTATTTGATTATTTTTTGATACACATTCTTGCTCAAGTACGTTGTTCCCAGGAAACGCAATGTGACGGCATAAGTATTATTGAGAAATTTCTGTTTTGTAAGTCATAAGCAAGATTACGAAGTTTTTGGTTTGGAAGATCATACCTAAAAGGACTGGAAAGTAAAAGAGAACTTTGGGACCGCAGTCTCATGAGATGAGGGCAAATGCTAAAACATACCTCTTTCGTGAACTTCACACGACTGTCTTTCATTTGCATCTGTTTCACCTAAATATAGACTTTATTATTATTATTATTTTATTTTGCTACTTTTAACTTTAATTTTTATTTTATTTGACTGAGGACAACAGTTTAGCAAGTATTAACGGTTCCATTTCATTGAACACTCCACAAGCCAAACTAATGAGCAAGTTCCAAAGTAGAAAAGAAGCATGCTGTGAAATTTGCTCATTAAGATTTATTTTTATCGTACCTGTAATGATCGAATGATTGACGAGCAGCAGAAGTTGAATGGAACATATAGAGCCATAATGACTATAGCAGCGAGTACTGGTGGTCCGATAGTGAAGTATATGAGTGACAGAGCAATGATTACCTAAAAAATTCATGGATAGGAGACAAAAATTGTTCAGAGAGTAAAGCGAGACTTGTTAATAAACAATATTTCATTTTTGCAGATTTTTGCACAATAATGAAAGTCAGCACTGGGATGTAGAAAGTATCCAGAAATTCTAGGGCTGTAGGATTCAATTTCAAAGGACTCCTCGAGCATGATGAGAATGAAATTATCCGTCTCATGATAGAGGAAGTGAAACTTGCTGAGATCATAGCATATTGTTAATTCTTATGGTTATTTTCAAAAGGAGGCCTGAAAGTGGTTGCTATAATGTGGCTCAGAACACTTGAGAGATGCAAGTTTTTTAGCTTAATTTTTCAAAAGATATACGAGTTATTGCTATCTGATTTTTGTCGTATTTGGATAAACGGAAGGACATAAAAAATTGGGTTGCAAAGGCGATAGGAGGAATAAGACATGAGATCTTTCAGCAAAGGTCTTTTTGACTTAATTATAACTCTATGATACCTCCAATACAGCGGCCCATGCATGATGAAAAAACGGCACAGAAGTGGCTACAGCTTCGGCATCTATAGTGACAAGATTGACTACGCGAGAACTGGGCCATTCCGTGCGAGCCCAGCTGGAGAGTCGTAAACTCTGCAAATCTGCTCTGTTATACATGAAGTGGGAGTAGCTCCATACAAATTTCCACCCACCTTCTTTGAGATCAAGTTAATTATGAGGCTCAATCCAGTAGAGGCATCCCTTACGACGAGGTAATTGTGAATACCTGAGAAGAAAACGAAGGAAATGAAATGCAAGTTGCTTTATGAACACGATTTATGGAAGTCGGAAGCTCCCCCCCCCCCCCTCCCACAGGTCGCGGAATCTTTGAAAGGTACTTACATGTGTTATAAAAATGTGCAAGTGACTTGTTTTTACTTGTAAATAATCAAAATGATCCTGAAAGTTTTTTTTAAAAATTCAAAATAAGCGTGTAACACCCTTTTCTGAATTTCGGAGTTTGGCCACAAAGATCCTGGCAAGCATCCCAAAAATTTTGAAATCCCCACCCCTCCCCGAACGGAAATCCTGGGTGCACCACTGAGCCACGGACCCTCTCATTCTTAGTTCAAGATATCTCTAAACTGATAAACGAACACTTTCTCTACTCCTTTTTAATGGGGAAATACTTTTTCTGAAGGCTTGTTAATGAAATCCGAGTGCTTTTTTTGTCTTATACCTCTACGTTCATTTTCAAATCCTGTGCCTCGAAAAAATTTCAGATAATATTTGGCAGTTCACTGCAGTGATACGAAAGTGTTTGTAGTGCCAAAGTTCGTTGATCACTTTTTATTGCGTTCGCAAGGATTCTGAAAGTTATGGTAATCTTGTTGGACTTTGGAAAACGTTCACTAAACTTGCTGAACGGACAATTTTGGCAGAAAAAAAGTGTTGCAAGCAGAGTTTTTGTTACAGGTTTTCAAAATACCTACCAAGAAATAGTGACTTCAACTCGCCACTTGCAAACATGATGAGTGAGATTGTCAGGCACTTTGTAAGTGGTCTTGGCGTATACGTAGCTTCTATTAGCAACCTGAAACAAAACTATCCAGTTGTTCATTAATTGTTCTATTCTTGATTTTATCCATTTTATTACGCTTCTATTCAATATGCGTCGAGTGTATCGGTTTTCTCGAGCATAGATTGATGTACTTTTGAATTGTCTAAATTTCCAAAATATTAGGTTGATGCAAAAATAATGGCCGCAAAAAAAATGTCAGAAAAAAGTTCAGCACAGCTTTCATTCACATAAGTTTTCATAAATTTTTGGGCTCCCCAACGCGCATGCACACACCAAATTTGGTGTCATATTGCGTTTTGGCTGGAAAACAATGCCTTTGTTTGTTTGATGGACAGCATGCCGGTGGCATGCCGGCATGCTGTCCATCAAACATGCTTCTTGCGGCTCTTCTCCGCCCCAGACCCCGAAAAACGTATCCCCTTTGCTTTTCGCCCTAAAAACGATAACCAACTTGACCCGGTGCCAGCTGTGGCGAGCCCTGTTTAAAGGTAATTCAGCTCTCCAGAAGCCCTACCGTCACCCAAGAAGCATGACTTACTTGAGTAAAAGCGGATTGAGGTATTCGAATACTTCAGCGATCAACTTTGATACAATAGCGCCTAATATAGACCAGCGATACCGTATCACGAGTTTGCGCCATATGTTTTCCTTCGGACCTGAAGGTGCTGTTTTTGAACAAATCCAGAGAAATACCATAACAAACCAAGTTTCCAAGATCTTAGCAGATTTATCGAGCGATACTTCTGCTTTAATGGTGTGAGATCATCGAAAATAAGTGTTCTTTTCGACCCTAAAAAGTGACATAAAGAAACGAGTTCATAAACGACAGTAAGTACTATCAAGAACGACTAACCTTTCTTCAGGAGAGGACTGAGCCAAAAAAGAAAAAGTCGAGAGAAAAATGATCTTTTCTCATCGAGAAGTGAGAGATTTGGTCGAGAAGCTGCTTTGCTCACTTTGCTCACATCGGACAAGGCCTTGCTGTGCCGCGATAAAGCAATCACTAAAATAGGGAAGTAAGAAACATTGTGTCATATGAAAATAACACTATGACTGATATGAGGTGCCATTGCAATAGATTTCAAGGAAAAACTGCGGTATTTGCTAAATTTGCAAAACAGCACATTCATAACAACACTAAGTAAGAATGCAAACATCACGACCGCGCCTGATAGATTATTTTTCATTTTTGACAGCAAAATTTTGCGAATTGGCTGCTTTGAGTGCACAAGGGCGAATTTCAAATTACTCTATGATTGAACTTCAAATTGTCTGAAGCACTAAACAACAAGTGAAGGTCACCTTGTAAGAGTTGCGATTTGGAAAGTGATGCACACCTACAGTAAACAAACCAAAATACTCGAAATATTTCCTTAATATCTGCAAAGCGCTTTTTCGGAAAGTCTTTATTTCAAAGGGGTGGTCTGGAAGAAAACTGACGGTTTTTGGACATCAGCAAGCCTGAAAATTTATCCATAGCGTTCAAATGGAAAAGAGAATGAGCAAGTATGTTGTGAAAGTTGGGGTACATGTGTTTTCCAGACAAGTACGTTCGATTTAGTTAGGCGATTGCAGTAACTTAATACAGGGCTCGGCACGAGGTGGCTAGATGAAAATGGAAAAAACGAAGTCCCCCTTGACTTTTGGAAATTTTTACGAAGTCCCCTTTGACCCTGAACCAAATTTCTTCTAAAAACCTGAAAATTCCCAAAAATCCCCCAAAAAACGAAACGTCGACTAAAAAAAAGTCGCCTTCGTCAATTTTCCGCATGTCTTCGCTCACAAAAACGAAACCCCCTTTGCTTTTCGTCCCAAAAACGATATCCAGCTTGCTTGTAAGCCACCTGTGCCGAGCCCTGACTCAATATAGACATTTGAACGCTGATGAGAGGTTGATTGGCACAAGTTTGCTAAGCATCAGTTCATTGAATATGTCACATTTTGCATGCAAGTTTTTCTCAGTTCTACAGAGTTCTTGCAGCACACTTACCGTATATCAAAAGCTTTTCATACGGTTGTGAAGTGACTAGAATGTTTTACTGTTGTTGACAACTTTCGCTCCGACGTCTCTCAAACTTCTGAGGAGAAATGCACTTCTATGAACTCCATTTAGAGGTTTTACATATTCATTTATTGTTCAAGTAAGAAGCAACTTCCACATCTTTGAGTTCAATATCCAAAAAATGAAGGATGAAATGAGCCATAATTCCCTGTATGGATATGCGCCTACGCCTTCAGCTGACATCACAAATTTATTGTAATTGATCTTTGGACGTTATTTTAAAAAACTTTTATTTTCGGTAGTGTGAAAGAGAACTCTTTGCCTACGAAAGGATCAAAAGCTCATGTAAAAAGTAATGGAGGGGGTAAGTTTCTAGTGCTCAGGAATGAAAAGTGATTAGTTCAGCAGAAGAAGCGCAAAAAACCTCTAATTCCAAGCAGCCATTTCCAGAGTGTCCCAAGAAATGTGAATACTGTTTGATTGTTGACAACCCTCCTGTGAATGACTCTTTCAAAAGCTTTAGGTACCATTTTATAGAGCTGGCTTTTACTTAGATTTACAGCATAAAGCGACCTCTCTTCATTACTGTAGGATTACTGTAGGAACTTTGAAGAGAGTTTTTGCACCATTGAAGGTCATATTTTACCTCTAAAAAATGACTAAAAAAGCTGAAAAGTTTTACACTAGGTAATCTGGATTGGCGATATTAAATACGAATTCTCACTTCACTTTAATGCTTTTTTTCGTATTTTATGCCAGATATAACGCAACGACAAATTTCTGATAATCGTCGAAAATTTGATTGGGCCATTCAAAAAGCACTGCGAATACGCAAAAAGTAAAGTAAATTCAAACCAGCTCTACAAAATGGTACCTAATTCTTCCCGAAAGTTTTCATAACAAAAGAGTTATTAACAATCAAACAATAGGCACATTATTTAGGACACCTGTATCATTTTATTGCGAGAAGAATATGCTAGGTATTGAGCAGGTGGAGTATACTAGGATGATTTATCTTTTGCAAGAGATTCCTAGGAAAATGTGGAGAGGTAACAGAGGCCATGAATTATCAGAAATTGCTAGGAAAGTTCAACTGAGAATAGAATTTGAAGAAGAAGTGCTACTTCTAAAAGTGTACTCTAAAGCAAGGCTTCAAGGAGGCTTTTACCGTAATCGCACAATCAAATGCTAAGGTTAGCGGATTATGTACTCGAAGGTGAGCTAAAAGGTATAATCTATAAAAACAATGATCATTTCTTACCGCTCATTATTCAGCCCATTCGATAGCGATAGTGCCAGAATGAACTAGTCAGGGCCGGAAAAAGTGAGGTAGGCCAGATGGCGACGGAATGACGAGTCGAATTTGAATAAATATGCTCTGCGTTCATAAAAGTATCACGTGCTTTGCATATCATTTTCCTCCTACCTATGTGGGCCGCATCATAACTATTTCACTATATCGAGCGTTTGAAATTTTGGTGTCGTGCATGCAAAATTCAAGCACTTAGGGTAGCAGCCAGTTTTGATGAATGCGAAAAGGGTTCTATGCGGGTGTCTTTGTAATTTTCTTCTAAATATGGCAAGAGTGTAAAATGAACAAAAGGCTAGCCGTGATTATTCGCAAGCGGTAGTGAACATACTAGAAAACAGACTTTTATTAATATTAAGAGATCATTTTTTGGACAAAGTGCACGTTCTTTTGCTTTGCCGCACGGGTCTATAGCTTCGTGTCTTGTTGTCCATACCTAATTCTCCTTTTCGTCTTAAAGCTAAGGACTGGCTGATCTCGTACGTTGTTTGAACTTTCTTCTTGATCTTCTTTTCTTTTTGATGAAATTGAGCGTATCTATAAAACAAAAATGACATTAAAATTGTTTAGAAGTTTTCTGGGAGCTACAGGATGCCGACTTTATGTGAGGGTTCTTAATGAGCCCAAACAAATGAGTAGATAGATTGCGAAGATTTGCTAGATACATAAAACAAAATAAATTACCGATTTCTCAACCAGAATAACATTTTTTTAGCTGCGATAATTGAAGTCTCGAAAATCGAAAAATTGAACAGGGTAGTCTCTTGCATCAGTGCGCAACGACAAGCCCTGGTTACTTACTTCTGCTTTGAGTATAATTTATCTTACTTTATAAGAAGAAGAAAGGGGTTGCAACTTGCAAGTGTAGCAGAAACTATAGGCTCATGCGCGCAATGAACTTTGGCAAGAATAGTCTAGACCTCATGGAATGATGCTAAATATGCTCGTTTCGTTCTTCTAATTTCGATTTTTTTCAAGCGGGAATGCTTCAAAATGAATGCACGAGGCGTGTCGTAATAAGCAAATCAAGATAGTTCAAATAAATGTGTTAAAATTTATAACTGGGACAAAACGATATGATGTACTTGTTACAGGCATACACTATCGTTCAATACGATATCGCTCACATTTCTTGAAAAAAAAAGGGGAATGTCGCATCATCTATGAACATCACCGTCGCGTGGCCATATCTCGCTTCAGTGTGGACGAATTCTGCATCTAAAGCCAACATTCGACTCAGCTCGGCGCGGCGCATCTTCGATATATGGAATTGTCCACTTGGACACGGTAGGAATTCAGATTCCAAGAATCGTTTATTGTAGGTTGTCCAGTGGGTGCAATGAATAGGCACACTGAGTAACTTACCGTAAGCAAAAATCTGGAACGATTCGTGGAATCTGACCTCCTACTGTGTCCAATTGGACACTTCTATAAATAGAAGATGCGCCGCTGGTGGCTTTAGATGCAGAATTCGTCCACTCTGAAGCGAGATATGGCCACGCGACAATGACGTTCATACATGATTCGACGTTCGCGTCTTTTTTTCAAAAAATGTGAGCGGTACTATACTATCGCATATTACAAGCCTAAGACAAGCTAGGTAAAACTTTTTTTTATTTTTTGACGTAGGAGGAAATATTTTCTGGTCATTTCCCTCAATTGTTGATGACGCTTCAGGAAAGATCTAAGTTAGAGCTTGTGCCATTGCAAGTTCCGGTTTTGAATGTCGATATTTCAGGATTACGATTCTTGCGTTCACCATGAGTGTTGCCGGGTACCGAAATATCTCAGTTTCATCGAAAAAGTGGACAATTAAATTCCGCATCAATTGAAAAGGATATAGGTGGCGTATAGTTTCTCTGAAGTTCACTTCTCTGTTCTAACAGCGCTCAGCCTTTGCGAAATGAAATCTTATGATTTTTGTATTACCTCTCCTAGTACGCAATTTCAAAAAAAAATTGAAGCCATTTATGTATGTATATGTAATTATTTGTACTACTCAAGTCTGTAGGTCTCTGATTGCGAGGATGTTTTTTGAGATTGGGTCAAACAAAATGTCTGTATAGAAACATAGATGACATAAACTTATGCGACTCCAAAAGAAATATAAATAGGAGAAATATGAGTTGCAAATTCTCTTGAGTATATGCACATGGAGTAAACAAGCCACATATCACATTGATTTGAAAGGAAAGCAAACAGTTCATGGCAGGGAAGTCATGTAAATAAAGAACTCATAACAAGACTGACTTGATCGACATTCCTTACAATATTTTGAGACAAATTACAAGGGAGCGGATGGTTTGGTCAAAGCGGCCTTTTGATGAGATGTATAACATCTTGGAGGGCATAAAATGCTCATTCCAAATATACCTTCCTTATTTGCGGAGCATTTATGGACAAGAAGTTAAGAGCGTTACTGTAGGAAAAATTGAATGTTTGTTCGGGATAAAATCAATCGCTGAAGTTTTCATAGCTCTTATTTTAGATAAAGCAGCGGGGTTTGGGTATACTCTATACAAGAGAATTTATTACATGAAGCATTTTACCAATTATCATTGCTTCATTTAAGCGCTAACTAAGTGTTACGAATATATTCATCCTACAGGTTTACGGATACGGTAATACCTGTTAATTTTTCAGATTTGAAATCAGCGCTTTATGCCCTACAAAATAGTACATTCCACCTAAAAAGACACTTTAAATAACCATTCTTTCCTTGTCATAGAAAAGGGTCAGCTTGTAATACACCACGTATTAGACGAGTCTCAAAGGCAATAATGACTTAGTTTGAAGAAATGTGCAAATTACGAATGTATTCACGAGATTATCGTATTGCACTCAACGATGAGAGAACACTGGACATGGATAATCGACGATTCGTGAACGGTAGCTGCAAGCATGTGCTGTCATCGTCAGCCCACCATCGTCTTGTGCGGAAACGGATCGACTTCGACATGGCAGCCAGCCCGAAGTTATGCTCAGCGGAAACGCACAAAATGTAACTAAAAAAATTATTAGTGTTAAAGTATGTAGATCGAAAAGGAAAAGCTAATCGTACAGTTTGGGCAGTTCCTCAAGAGGGATTACGTTGATAGCTTTTTAATTTTTTCAAACGGGTATGTTAACTTGCAGTGATAGTAAACAAAGCTTGTTGCTTACTTTCCGTTCCCATGGCGCCCATTTAGTCCCGCAAAGCCGAACTGTCTCTACGCGATTTTTGAAAAACCATATTTCAGGGATCATCTCGAATCTGAGGGTGTGGTGCAGAAGAATTATTTCATATGAGCCTGCATCAGGCTTTTTTTTTTGAAGAAATGCTGTGCGAATTGAAGATTCTTCTGTAAATCTATGGTATGTTCATATTGCTAGTGCAACGAATGAAAAAAGGTTAACCGTGGAAAAAAGTCTGCTATTATTCAACACTTTGTCATATAATCTAAGAGACCATCAGTAATGTTAAGGAAAAGTTAAGTGATCTTTTAATCTTTTTTGGCCTGCTAAAATTGAATTAGCTGAAATATAACTAATCTTAGCAGCACTGAACGTCCCTGCGAAAGCATGTTGCAAAAGCTACGAACTGATATGATCTACTTCAAAGCTTCTGATGTATTCCTTCCAAAAATCGCACCATTAGATTGTCCCAAAAGTAAACTTCATTTTCGAATAAATTGGCTGTTATTGTTTTCCTGATAGAGTTAAGGTACCAATCGATATAGCAGAGCAAGCTCTACAAAAAGACCACCAAGGACGTACCTAATTCGTAATCCAGGCAAAATTTAAGTCCAAAAATCAAAATTTTTCAGCTACCCTAAGAATCGGATCTCCTTCCAGAAAATTCCTACGGACTTCCAACTTGGTCTTTATATAGTAGACACATAGTAGTACCCAAAAATGGATTTGGCGGATCTTTCTCGGGGCTCAAAATTGAGAGAAAAAAGATGGTCCGAAAATGCCGAAATGCTACTTTCTTTGGTTTTTTTTTGTGTAAAACTTGGTATTTCTCGATTGTAAGAGCCATACAGGGGTAAGGTTTTGAAATTGCACTTAGTAAGGATTGTAGTACACAATGACATATGTGGGAGGGGCTGGGGGCGGAGTTTGCCATTTTTGGACATTTTTTGGTTCTCGCTTTCTATGCTCGGAAAAAATTCTACAAAAGCATATTTGAGTACTACTATGTGCTTACTGTATAATGACCAAGTTGGAGGTCCGTAGGGCTTTTCCTCGCGAAAATTTAATTTTCAGGTGACAAAATTTTGTTCGATTTTGGCTTCAAACTTTACATGGAATGAGACTTAGGCGGACCCTTGGCGGTTTTTTTATAGAACTTGATCTGCTCTATGGAATGATGCCCTAAGTTTACTGGGAAAGCAAAAACAGCTTGAATAATTCAAAAGAGGACTTTACTTTTTGGGACAACCTAATAATTGAAAAATGCAACCTCATATTATCGTATTTATTTCATTTTCATTCAAGCAAAGGCTTAGAGGTGGTTAAGAGAACCGCAGCTCAGTGGCTACTGTTATTGTCAAGGATAGCTCGCAGTCTAAAAGTTGCATAGCAAACAGCTTCAAGAACAAAATTCGCATGTTCTGTTGTTTCATTGATCAACTATTATTCTTGGATCGATTTCGATCATTAAAATCACGAACCGCGTATCTGGCAGTAGATCCGTGAGCGTGAACCTCGTAGAAGAGCCGACTTTGTATCTGCTCCAATATCTGAACTGTGGAGCCGGTTCTTGTGTGTATTGAATCACATAACTCTGCAATAAGACAAGGTTCTAGAACAGCTCAGTTTACCATACACATACCATTCACAAGTTAAGAATCTACTACAGATGTGGGTGTGACTTCCCCTTTCATCTACAGTATATTTTGACCCGGAGCAGGCGAAAGATTTCACGCGAAGTCATCGCGTCCACATCGATAGGAGCTTAGCGAGCTCACAGCGTTGGCATTTTGCCAAGCAAAAGCTGATTTTTCGGAACAGTTCCAGCGCAGCGCACAGTTCGAGCGATGTGCCGAAACTGTTCTCGAACTTGTGGATCATATGAACCCAGTCAAAGACAGGAGAATGAAGAGACGCAGACATGGGTTCATCATGATCTAATATACTGTAGCTGCGAAACGGCGCGAACCGTTGCGAAGCGTACGCTCGCCAACCCAATTTCCGCCTGGAGCGGGTTGAAAATCATCGTAACCGATTGTCTAACAGATCTTTATATATCAAAATAAGATTTAGCACCATTAGCAGTTTACAATTTATACGGAGTATAACCAGTCGCCCACCTCTGGTCCATTATTCATCTTTGGAGGTCGCCAGGAGACTGTTGCTGTCTCACAGCTAACAGCCTCCAAACGAACATTCTGTGGCACTGTACATGGTTCTGAAAGAAACTACAGAGTATACACACAAAATTTGTGAATTTGAAGAGAGAGATGGGGGGGGGGGAGAAAGAACATGTAGAAACTTTTTTCAGTAGTGAATAGAAGCACTTTTCATCCTTAATTTATGTAAGAAGAAAGGTCGAAGCAATTTTGCCTGCCGTTTTCGTTTAAAAATGCTAATCTGCATTTCAGATAGATACTTAGGAATTCCTTACGTGTAAAACCCGTCCGAATCCTCACTATCAAACAACGGCTCTTCAAAGATTTTTGAGAAAAACTCTATTGTGGAGCAATGAAAATCATAAGTTTGCCCGTAGATTTTCTTTAAGGGATAAGCTTCAATATTGTGGCTGTGTGCATACTCTCTTTTACGCATTAAACATCTTTTTTCCATGTAAGTTGAATTTGCTTTCTTAGACAACAAAAGTGTTTTTGTAAAGAAGATTCAGTAAAAGAGAGACTTCAGAGCAAGTTCAGCTTACTGCTTTTTCTCTATCGTTTTGCGAGTTCAGAAAAAGCTCTTCATAGACTTTCGGAAAGCTACCTGTATACTCCTGCGCTCTTGCAGCCCTACTACTGCCAAAACGCGTGGTCGTTGTCAGACTAAACTCATAGAGAGTGAACGACTTGAGTCCAGTCACCAGATACCGTTCTTCGTTGATAAAGTCCACTCGTACCACATGATTTCGCCTTTGGGGTGTCCTGAAAGCACAATCAAAAGTCAAAGTATGCGTCAGTGTCGTGAAAAAAAAGAGCCGATTTGGTACGTCTAAAGCCTTACGGAAATCTATCAGCAACCGACATAAAAATAAACTATTGTATGTGAGTTGATGAGGATTTGCTTTTCAATATATTCGGAAGCTTAATGTTTTAGTTCCGCAAATAAAAATTTGTTTTACCCAAATCCAAACAATGCAGACTTATTCCTGTACTTTTACCATAAACATGGTTTAAACATTGTTGGAAGTTCGAGGAAAACAAACGCTCAGCAATCACAAATGTTGGCATCAAAGAACTCAGCCGAAAGATGGTATGACCTTCACCGCGCATGTATCTGCGGCGACTCTGCCAGCATTTATAGATAGACGGCGGAGTTACTGCGGCGTATATTTGCCTGGTTTATTTTCACTTCAGCATGTAAAATGCCATTTACAGAGGTAAAATCATAGCAGTAAATTACTACAAATCTAGAATCGCCAAAGAATCAGATAGATCCTTTGCACCTTGTGAGAATTTCCGACAATGCTTAGGAAGAGAGGAATGTTGCAAAAACTTGGTCTAATTATTGCATCGAGTTGGAATAGAAAGTGAAACGCAGCAGTAAAATATGTGCTGAAGCAGAATGTGATTTCATGATTATGATAATTTTCTCAGGCTCCACTGTGGGTCACGAAAAAATAGAACAAAATTTGTAGTCGTGGAGATAGCAGCGGCCGCTGCTGACAAGATGATTAAAAATCTATCTCATGGTACCCCAGACAGTAAATGAAAAAAGAGATTATTCCGAGCTTGATAGACAAACATTTTGATGGCGTGCGCTATTAGGAATTCAACCCCCGCTAGCTCATTTCAATAAAATAAAACCACGATGTCAAAAAAAAAGATTGTATTAGGTTGTTGCATAAGTTCTTCCGATTTGAATTTTTTGAGTTCAAATGTCATAACTTCTTTCAGTGTCAACTTTTTTCCAAGATCTTAGTTTCCCTGTGTTGAGCAGCTCCTTGGCTATGAAACGCATATTAAGACCTGCGCAAATCCTTGTTAAGGAAGAAGCAAGAATGCAAAAACTTCACAGCGTTTTTCTTCGAATCTGTCTTTTTTGACATGGCAACGCTCCCTTATGAGAATTGATAGGCATCTTTTCTAACAATGGATATATGGAAAAATTTTTGTAGATTATTATGCAACGTAAAAGAGCCCATAGGGTCTGCGCTGCCGAGAGATTTTTTCGACCGAACAAAAAATTTGCCACCTCTTGACCTCGCTTCAGCACATGTGTGCATGCCTATTTATGAATTATGAACATTTTACAATTGACGTGAGCGCCGAAAAGAAATTGGTAGATGGTATCTGCTGGCCCTTGCTTTACCTTAGCACCTGCAACTTTGAAGTCGTCGATTACTTCTATTCGCAGAAAGTTATAGCTTGTAAAACATTTATACAGAAAATTAATGTTTGACAATAAATTTTACTAGCAAGACGTTTTCTTCATGAAACTGAACTTATGCGTATGCTAGCCTATTACACCCTTACATTCCGCAACCAATCAAAAAACTTGACTTGAAGGGAGCATTGTGGAGATTTCCTCGCAAGAACATATTTCTAGGGTGAGAACGTACCTCAGCCACTTAAAGATTTTAGGCCTGAAATCTCCGTACACTAAGAAATTTATTAGAATCTGACGTGCGTTAGAAAGCGCAAGGAAAGCGCTTTTCAATCATACCAACAATATTGCATTAGAGATGAAATCCTCTTAGAACAGCTGCTTTAAACATGAGGCAAAAAAAATCGGACAGAACTTATGCAACAACCTAATACTTGTTTGGAGTCATTACGCTTCAAAGATTGGATGATCTTTCCTTTTATTATGAACTCAGTAGCTGTTCTTGATCTGTCAAAAACCCGATCAAAAAGTAAAAAAAATCCTAGAATTTGTGAAGCACCCTGGAGCAATGAATAGATACTTACCTCGGCTTGTACGTCAGAGTGTACCAGTACCGTTTGCCTTCGTCTACATAAAGAGGTGGACTCCATCTCAGAAGCACCGAGTCGGCTGTGGCATGAGACGCGACAAGATTGCGAGGACATTCGGGAGGTTCTGATAGGGATGGAACTTTTTGTGAGTATTTGAAGTGCAGTTAGCTACCTGGTTGTGGTTGCGATGCTTGTGTGAGATGTTTGAGAGCTAAAAATCGTGTAATTACAATGTTCTGCAAGGGTAGCTGAAAGAGTGATTTGTTTTCTACCCGTTAAACGAATATGATGCAGGGCAGTGACTGTCTCAAATAGCTTTCGCATCGCTTCTCGCTTCATCGCTTCTATCCGCCTTTGTTGAACTTCCTTTAGCCAGGAAAGGGGATCCTTGAAAATTGATCGAATATGTTTAAAACTTCTTGGCCATTGAAAGCATAGACGATAAGCTTTTGCGTTTATAGCATAACACTTACATCGTCCAGTCTTCTACCAAAGAAATGCAGCCTATCGATGTAGTATGCTCCAACAATATCCACACATGTTGTTGTAAGTACTAAACCAATCAAGACCAATAGTAAAACCAGCAGTATGAAAGTTTCGTTACGTGGAACGAGATCTGGAAAGAAGTACCTTATTTTTCCTGTCTTAATGATGCCTTTCTTACCTCCAAAACCGATCGTTAGCACACTAATCATCATGAAATAAAAACCGTCCGATACTGGCCAACCCTCAACTGCAGCAATAATGTATGATGCGAATGCGATGTAAATGAGAAAAATTCCTAGAACGAAAAAATAGAATGATAGAAGTTAAAAATGAGACTGTTTTGCTAGAGGAGAAATTTATCATTTAATCAATTCGGGATGATTTTTTCCTGCTTTGAAGTTTAAGAAATTTTTTGAACAACGAATATTCTTTGCGCATGATTTGGACTTATATATAAGGATTGATTTTCATTGAAAATTTCAACTTTGTGAGAATATTTTTCAAAATTGTTTCATTGTTTCAAAAGCAAAAAATACCCGCAAGGAGGACGGTGTGAGCGCTAGACAAACCTTTTGTTATCGATTTTTTGCAGGAGAAGTAAACCAAATTGAAATAGAATTCATACTTTATAAATACTGCACTTCATCTGCAGAATGAAAGACACATCTTGTGCCGGACTCAAAAAATTTTGTTGCAGGGTTCACAAATTATCCATATAAGGGAACGCCGTCAAGCTTCCAACCCATTTACAAATCAAATAAAATTTGTAGTAGAAGATTTCCGATCAATTCGAGTGGAGGCTCCTAGGTTTCTATCCCTTTAATATTGGAAAAACTCAAATAATTACCTATAATGAGAAAGAAAGGGATTTCGATAAATTGAGCGTGCTCCAAATGCGTCCATAGAAATTCTGCCACCTAAATTACATTTGTTCGAAATTTTGTTCGAAAGTGGAAAACGAGCAGGGCGTACTTCGTCTTCCCCGCCAGCAATGATTAACTGTCCAACTTTGACCGAATTTCGTCGTGAACGACCAGATTTCCAGCGTCTATATTTTCTTCTCAAGCGGTGTTTGCACTTTATTATATCTATGTATAACTTATTCATGAATTCGGTGCAGAATTTGGCCTGAACCGACAATTTTTTTCGATGTTTGAAAATCCTATAAAATGTAAAAAATTCCTACAAGATCAGCTAAAGTGATCAGATACAGCGGAATGCCGAAAAACAAATAGACAAGGCAAAAAACTCTTCCAGTATAGGAATCCGGCGCATCTGTGCCATATCCTGAAAATTACCTTTTATTATCATATGTGGAGCTAGAGATTTTGACTATTGTCTTGGTGATTTCGAACTCACCTATAGATGTCAACGTTGTGGCAGCAAAGAATAGATTCCATGTTACATTTGACAACGGATGGTTATACATCATACCCTTAGATAAAATTGCAAACCCCTTGGTAACTTCCTTTACAAAATCAAGAATATATTCCATCGAGCTTGAAGCAAATACCGTAAAATTGCGACTCCATGGAAAAGGATTTCTTGAGTACACGTCATAGAGATCCGTGACGTATTTATCAAATCTTTGCTCCAACACAGGGCTGCGCGATGTGTTGACCGAGCTGACGAATCGAGTGAAGTCAGCTTTAGTGCTAGAATGTAAAATTTTTGGAACGGAAGGAGTTTATGCGCGCGATGAATACCTTTTGAAGGTTTCGAGCAGTTCAGCATCATGTGTGGTTTGGTCGTTGTATTTGATGATGGTCAGAACCCATCCACCAAAGGCAGCATAGAGAAATGAGACAAGGAGAAGAGTGACGTGTGGTAATGCTAGCCGCAAAACCTAGAAGGAGCCGATCAACTCAAGAAACTGCTGGCCTTCTGTTAGCGTTTAAATTGCCCGCGTGCAGGTGTCGTGCCAACACCGTTCCAGCGCCGTGTCAGCGCCATATAAGAACGCACACCGCATTGCTCGGTCACCGTCTCGGTACGGCACTGACACGGGCAGCTCTGGACGCAATCTTACTAATTATATTTATGGAGCTTGGTTAGTAGGGATTTTTGAGACTGCTATTACTCATTAAGCAGAAGTAGCTCAACTCACCACCACTCATGTGTGCATTCGATCGCTATTTATAGAAAAGCGCTGAGATTTTACTCAAGAGTGGTGAATAAGCCTATGACGTCATGCACGGGTTTCCTCAACTCTCATTGCAATGCGCAGTCGATAACTGAGTCATTTATTCAGATAACGGGAGAGCGGCGACTAAGAGCATAGCCTTTCCGTTCGAAAAAAGCATTTTCCACTTGAATTTTATGGATTTGGACGCTCCGCTGCGCGACATATTAGGTTGTCCCGAAAGTTTTGTCGGCTTCTTTAAACCACTATAAAACCACGCACAGTAAAGACCTGAATGAGTTTCAAGATGCATTAGATGCAGCTTTTCCTTCTCTTTCTTAAGGTTACATATTCGAACCACAATCTTGCATGCTTTCTTTGATAATTGCCAAAATTCTCCACCCTTCCGTTTCATCTGCTCAAAGTTAGGGTAAATTTTAAAAATTTCATATCAAAGTTTGGAAAAGGGTTAAGTATGAATCAAGTAGAGCAATTCTCGGGCTACAAGGCCTTATTTTTAGTTTCTTCTGTTTTTAGCTTCAAAAAATTATTTTTTCGGAGGTCTCCATTTTTGACAAAGTCATGAAACACCCGACTGCAGCAAATACACGAAAGCTTTTAAAGTTTTTGCAAACTAAAACGTGATTCTTATTGAACGTTATTTATGCAACATAAACAAGTTTGATTTGCTTCAAAAGCAGCTTTTTGGAATTTCCGGTACTTTTACGTGGTAAACGTAGTCAAAAAGCCGTGGTTTTTATTGAATAAATAATTATAACGGACTTGTTAAACGTGGCCCATGTAATCTAAAATGGGCATAATGTAGCCAAAGGTTTGCTCTACATAAGGGTTACCGGAGACCTTTAAAAAATCAGGATAAAACTTTTTAAAATTCAAGAAAGTTTTGACGTTACTGCTGAGCTGTTCAGACAGCCAAGGCGATAACATCGCAAAGACGGGGTAGATCAGACAGCAAATTTACTAGTAAGAAAGGATGAAAATCTGATTAAAATGGTACCTGGGTTGTTCATCTATTGGTGTTCTGTGAGTTAGGGTGAGGATGAAAAAAAACCGACAAAACTTTCGGGACAACCTAATGTGCGATGTTAGGGAATTGCCTAAAAAGTTGTAATTTGAAGGATGGTTTGCTACGCTAAGATAGGTGAACCCTTGGTTGTAAAGGAATGAGCTAAAAATCGAAACCAAAAGACAACCAAAGCATGACATTTCATATCAATGAACTATGTGCAACGAATATAACTGACCAGCTGCTTTGTCAATCCAAATTGTCCAGGTGTTAACTCTGCAAAGCGACACAATCCTCCTTGCATGATTCCACACATTTCAGCTCCACTCAGCTGGCGATGAATGCGCTTCTGAAAATAAAGGTAGATTTCGCAGTCAAAATGGCAGCACGCACTAAGTGCTCACATCGGAACAAAAACTTTGTCAAAATTCAATGTTCCAGAGCTTCCTTACCAGCTTGATAATATCTTTGACTTTGCGATATCATTGCATTCAAGGATAAACATTGGTAAAGTTATAGCCTGTCAAAGTGAAACTACCAAAGCAGGCATTACTTTTGTAAAAAAATGAAACTTCACAATGAGCTGTGGAAACCACGGATTGGTGCACAGCTCTAAGAATCAGTAGCTTTATCCAGAAACAACTTTACCCGTTCCATAAATCAAAACAGTAATTTTTTGTAGCTTTTGAGTCACTTACAAAACGGATAGTAATGCGAGATAGTAGGAAACATAAAGGACCAGGAACAGTCAATCGCTGACGCAAACCAGACCTATTAGAGAATTTTTGGAATTATAAACTAACTTTATCAGCAGCAGAAATGCCAACTGAATAAAAGGCCACATTCTCGCTGCGAATAGTCATTTTCTAGAGTGTGGATCTACGAAAGTAAGTGCTCAAAGTGGGGAAGAAGGCAGTAATCCCTATAATTTCTTTCTGCGAAGATTATGGGCATTGCCTTCTTTCACCGTAAAGAATCGTCTCGTGAACCTATTCAGATAATCACAAAAAATGGTAATGGAGACGAAATGAGGATCTCGTCACTTGTATTACATGTACCAGTAGTAGGTATGTACAATTTATAAGACACCGCTTATAATTCTTATGGTTTTTGTTCTGATAGAGCTTCTGAGTCGCTCAAATTTCTTACTTTTAACTGAAATCACACGAATTTTGTCACCTTCTGAAGCACTACCAGTGGTACACAAATCTCGATTTTCCCTAGGTTATCTTTTGTGTTAGGATATATTAATGCAACGCAAACCTCCAAAGGCATAATTTATTTTAACGGCAATACAATCCTGTGACAGGCAAAAACAACCTTTTTCTTTCCCTTGTCTTCGACTTTCCTTTTCTCCACTATTTGTTTATGGATCTCTAGGAGATCTCTAGAGTCCCATTCGTTTCGCTCTGAATACAAACCCAATATGCAGAAAATGGAAAAAGTTCTTATTTGCAAGACATTCGAAATGGAACAACGGGTGAGAATGAAGTGAATCAGTGGTTGTTCTATACTATGTGATGTAAAGTGAATTTTGAGTGCTTGCAGCGAACTATAATTTTGGGTTGAGTTACACCAATCGAAGGAAAACTGAGCAAATCCGTTGATCTTTAATTTTTTGTGTTACGGCTCAAAAAAACTAACTATAGAACCAGCACAAGCTCTACAAAATGCCTACAAAAATTCGCATAGAGACTGATTCCAATCATTCAAAAGTCCCATCGTAATCAAACCTAACCCCAAGTTACTCATGCATATAATCTCGACAACAGACACCCAATCTAGTCTTTCGTTGCCGTGAATCGTGAAGCAAAAACATGAAATAAAAAATGTCATCTCTTTTAATGATCGTGAAACTTCGAATTCTAGAGCTTGTACTGTATTTGGCGCTCTCAATTCTGGGCTGCTTTTTCAAAGTATATAGTATGAAATTATATGTGAGAGCGACTAATCTGCTTGGGCAGAAGCATGTCAATCGTTTTCAAGTACTCTTTGGAAAATTACAGCAAGTACACATACACATTCAATTCCTGATCTTGAGAGTATATGCATGAAAGATCAGGCAGTAGGACTTCAAATTTTTTCCGGAATTCCGAATTTTTTTCTCAATTTTGCGCGCATGTAGGATCTATTAATTTACTACAATTTCCGCATGAATCAGACTTCGTGGCTACTATAAAGGTCATCTGTCAATGTTTGTTTCACTCTGCGTAAATATTGAAAATGTAAAAAAATATGACTTTTAGGAGATCATGACCATCAAATTCATCTCCCAAAAACAACGTAGAATAACGTACGAGCATGAATTCTCTTAGGATTGAAAAAAATTAGAAAGATAGAATGATCGATACCAAAAAAACAACGATTATATGACTCGTTTTTGAAAGTGCTTGCTAGCACCTCCTTCGAACAGAAAATAGCGAGTGGTTTTGGCAAAAACACAACGGATCCTTGTACAAAATTCTTGATTGTTGATTCTTGAAATACTGTTGATTCTTGAAAACGAGATCCCATTCCGTCGAAAGTCGGAGAATGGACTGATTTCGAAAAGTCTCGCTTTCTATGATTCTTTTTACTAAAATCAAAGTGTAAAAAAATTCGAAGTATACTTGTGGCGACGGTGACTCCATTGCGATGGGATTGGCTAACGTAGCCGTAGTACATGATCCAAACGTGGACGTCGTCTCGCGGGAAATCAGGCGCCTATTAGACGAATCCCGACATCCTCTCAACACACAACCTCTTTCTTTGAGCAAACTTCCGCTAGTAGAGTTCGTCAGAATGCTCGACGACAAGTACCTGGAAGAAAAATGCTTTTTTGAGCGAAATGCTCTGACGAGGGTATCATCGATAGATCAATAGACAACAAATTCAGATAGAAATTTGCGCATTCAAAAGGCTTGACTAAATAATAATTAAGCATCACATAACTCTCTGGATACAACTTCATATTCGAAATTCATAAATGAACCTGAGCTTTTCATCAAAAACTCGATGATCACTCAAAAATCTAAGCAGCTTAACAACACCTTGCTGTTTCTTCTGATGGAAGCTGTACAACTATGAATTTTGATCAGTTCAGCTGTACTGTTATTCTGTAAATTTTGAATAAAATGCGTTGTTTCATAATCCTGGCATCGAGTGGAATGTTCAATCTTGTTGCTTTGAACTAAATCTTAGAAGATAAAGATAAATGCGTAAGGAGCAGAGATAAAATTGTAGCAGTTGGTTTCATCTTATTCAGGCTCACACTACTCGATGCGTTTTCCCTCGTAACAAATGGCGGCACTACGTAATTGTTAACGAAAGGAAAAGAAACGAAACACGAGCGTTTTATACTGGAAGATCTTTAGCATCAAATATGATCACAATCTAACTCATTAGTTCTAGAAGAGAGTAAGGAGAGAAAAAATAATCAAGGGAAAATTTGCATGGTAGTACAAAGGTGTTGTATGATAAAGAGTTGAAGTGTACGTGCTCTTAGCTAGATTTACAACGGAGGGATACTTGGTGACCATGACCATTCATAAAAATTGTATGTAGAAGATGTGCTTCTTAACTAGTTCGAATACTGCCTTCCATATCTGCGAAACGATAACCTGGATAGAGTTATAGTTGATTTTTCAAAAATTAATTGCGCCACTGCGGAGGGTCAAAATCATCAATAAAAATCCTCTTTCCTTTTCAAGCGCTACACAGGGTGTCCCAAAAAAATGTGAACACTGTTTAAGTGTTAATAACTCCCTTGCTTTCATGTCTTCCGCCGAGCATGAGGCACCATTTCATAGAGCGAGGTTTAGCTTAGGTCTATAGTATAAAGCAATCGTCGATCACTCTTTACTATTGTAGGATTACGATAGGAACTTCGACAAGGATTTTAGGCCGTTGGATGTCATATTCTGCCTCGGAACAAAACCAAATAAGCCGAAAACTCTTCTACCATGGTAATGGAAGCCGCTGATTTCGAATATAAAATTTTCACTTTACTGTGATGCTTCTTTCCAAGGTATCCCGGGTAAGTCGTAATAACTGAATTTTCAGCATTTGTCAGAAAGGTGATTACACCGTCAAAGAAGCTAAAAACACTTATAAAAAGTTGTGTAATGGAATCAGCGTGCGCGAAAATCCTAGTGCACGTCTTTTTAGACTTTTTGAATAAATTTTGTTAAATGGCATATCTCACATTAGATCCACATACTAGAAGTTCACACCGTAATCCCACAGTAACGAACAGCGATCGGTCATTCGCTCCATACTACAAATCTAAGTTGAACCTCGTTATATAAAATGGTGCCTCAAGCTCGGCGAAAGATTTGAAAGCAACGGAGTTATTAATGATCAAACAGTGTTCACATTTTTTTGGGACACCCTGCATATGATTTAGATAGGTGTAAGTACAACAGCACTCCTTTTGAAATAATCCTCGATAGCTTCAGTAAACTAATACAAGTCTGTTGATTTTTTAACTACCCAAAAGTATGCAAGTTCTCTACGATAAAAAGTTCATAACCTCCTTCAAAAGCTTGCTGCGCAGATATTGAGCACCAATTTAAAATCAGCGTTTTGAGCTGCATCTTATGGTATACAGTGCACTTCAAATGGCCACAGTCCAAGTATCATTTATTTGTTAGTAGTGAATTGTGGAGCGCCAAAATGCCAAAGAAAGAAGCATCAGGAAGCCAGCAGAGCCTGGTATATTAGTATAAATGAATCTGAATGTTTGTTTGTGTGTGTGCGCGACTGTATGTCTGCAACGTATTTTCCGAAGAAATTTTTACTTCCGAACTGATCCAGACCAAATTTTGCGCACATACACTTAAGGGCGGGGAGGGTGTCGAAGGCTACCTTTCGTTACCAATGAATATCGATTTTACCATATTTTTGCAAAGTTTCGTGAGAGTTGGCAAATAGGGTAACTGAGCATGCTGATTACGAATATATCAATGACAAGACCGGGTGGAGCCGGGTTGCTAGCTAGTATGAGAATATTTTTATTTCGCTGATAGGCCATCATAACTGAGTCGGAGCATACGAGAACTTATTGATGCTCAAAATCCTTGCATTAGGCAGCATCAAATAACTGTGAGTTCTCTAGAAGTCTGTCAAAAGGTCCAGTAGACCACTATAGAACTTTTCGCCTCATTGTCTCCAGGATTTCCAGAAAGTTATTAAGTATAGTCAGTTGAGAATCTCAACAGAAACTTTTGGAATGTTATTATAATATGATAGAAACAATTCCCAGACTTTTGTAGATTTATTATATTTCAAAAAATTTTGAGGATGATCCAGCTCTTAGAAGTACACTTGGGAAGTTTTAATTCAGCATGCAACGAAATCCAGCAGAACTTCTAAATTATATCTTTAAAGAAAAGAACGATACCGCATGAAGAGTGCTGATAACACGAGGAAAATTTTCTTGGACTGGTTATCCCGAGAGTAGGTCACATAATTGCAAAAAAGGTTAGTAATGAACACAGTATAGAAAAAGACACGGAATCATTGCTATCACCGTGATCTCAGTGTAGTGGAATGATTCAATGCCTTATACTGATGTAATGTGGTCCAAGAATGAGCCAATCCTCCATTAATGTACTTAAAATTCTGTTTCAACAAAAGCTAGAAGACTTTGAGAGTTGCGAACACTCTGTTAACAGCTACAAGGATCCAAAATAAAAAAACACTTTGTAGCAACGATTGCTCCGACACATTAACACGCAAATACTCCACCATTGGAAGCAATTGCTCTAAAAGCATACGAATGCTCGGCTCATTCCCCTGAGTTGCAATTTTCATTACGCTATTCTCGCATTTACAAAATTATGGTGGAAAACAACTGCAGGAATGAATGAAAGAACATGAAGAGCATCTGTGTAAAGCAGTTTCAAATACTTATCAATGTAGGATTATAAAGAAACCAAATGAAACTTCTGCAAGATATAACAAAATTGAAAAAATTGAGGCTTTGAATAGCAAGGAATAGGAAGTCAACATTATTCTCATAATGTTGACTTCCTATTCCTTGCAAAATATGTAGTACTAGAGCTGACAATTAATTACTCATTTTATTTGTTTATGTTCTTATTTTTCCATTATTTATTAGTTTACCCGAGTATGCGCATAAAGTAAACGGGCTGAACATAGCAAGCAGTGCAATTAGTACCTCAACAACGAAAAATCTGAAGGAAAGAGTAAAGGAAGGAAAAAGAAGTCAGGCAGTTGATAATGTTAGGTTGTCCCGAAAGTTTTGTCGGTTTTTTCATCGCTCACTAAAACCCACAGAACGCCAATCCATGGACGATCTAGATACCATTTGATTCATAATTTTATCCTCTTTCTTACAGCTGTATCTGTTCTCTGATCAACCCTGCCTTTGCGACTTATCGCCATGGCTTTTTGAGCAGCTCAACAATAAGGCCAAATCATTTCTGAATTTTAAAAATATTCTCCTTCTATTTTTGAAGAGCGTTATTAACTTTTATGTATAGCAAGCCTTTGGCTATATTGCGCTTATTTTAGATTACATGAGCCACGTCTCTCAAGTCCTTAATAACCATCTATTTAGGAAAAACCGCGGCTTTTTGATTACGTCTAAGATTACCGTAAATCCCAAAAACTGATTTTTAGAGCAAATTAAAGTAGGTTATGTTGGATAAATAATCTTTATTAACAATCAAGTTTCAATTCGCAGGAACTTCAAAAGCATTCATGTTTTTGCTGAAGATGGGTGTTCCATGACTTTGCCAAAAATCGAAATCTCCGAAGAGATAATTTTTTAAAGCCAAAAACAGCAGATTAGGAAATGCTAAAAATATTACCGTATAGTCCGAGAATTGTTCTATTTGTGCTGTACTTATGGTTAGCACTTTCCGAAACTTTGGAATAAAATTCCAAAAATCACTCTAACTTTGAGCAGATAAAAGTAACGGATGAAGTATTGTGGCAATTATTTGAAAAAGGATTGTGGCCAAAGAATGTAACATTAAGAAAGAGAAAGAAGAATGCATCGAATGCATGTTTGAACTCATTCAGGGGGTTCGTTGCGCGTGGCTTTATAGGGGTTTGAAAAAACCGACAAATCTTCAGGGACAACCTAATATTATAAGTTTTGCTGAGATTTTCCCAAACTACAATCTTTCTTATTTTGATTCCTTCCGTTTCGCCGTTGCTTAGTTTTTCATTTAGAGCAAAAATCAAGGATTTTTGTTTTGTTGTGCAATGGATGAAAACAGCTGGCCTTATTGCGAAACAATCGCCATTCTAATATAATTTCACCTGTGCAGCGAGGTAGCATTGAAATTGGAATATAAAACAACTTTTCATCTTGCAGGCAAATCACTGAGGAATGTTGCCCGCATCTAAAGGATCTCTTCCCCATGAAGCTTTGTTTCTATGGCTTGCGCACATCTACTAGCAAATGCATAAAAATCATTCAGAGCTGAACATAAGCGAGACAATAATCTGTTGGAGATCATAAATTTCTCGCTTTGCTTGAGATGCCCAATGAGAAGGAAGTTTGTGTTTGAAGCAGCCAATTCTGAGCAATCTTTTACATACAATAAAGTTTTGAAAAATGCGAGAGAGAATCTTTTTTCTTACGTAAAGTTGTTTTAATTTTCAGATCCAGAAAGCAGGTTTCTGTCTAATGTGTGAGGTTTCGTGTGCGTACTTACTGTTTGTACGATTTTTTGGAAAAGATTATTCTTTAAATGATCAAAAAAGTTTATTTCAAACTTCATGACTCCAATACTGTGTGCTTTATTGGAAGTCACCTTGCAGAGATTTTTTTGCTCTATCGAATAGTAAAGTGAACCTTGTCTGGAAATACACTTTTTTAACTTGAAAAGTACCATGAGATAATCTGGTAGGTCCCCTCAAGATTAGAAACTTGCATGCAAAAGCGATATGCAACAGGTAATTCATCTGCCACTTCATTTCCCTGCAATTTCCGTTAGAAGTTTTTGTAAAAGGACAAAGGCAATGCTGCAAAGACCACAGTTTTTTTTATCGAGAATATAGAATATGTCAATGATAGAGAAAGCACCATATATACCGATGATCAAGGAGAGAAAAACAGGAAAAATTTAATTCTTCAAACCTTCTTTAAAATGAGGTCAATTTTAATTCACAAGGTGCAATGAACTAGGATTTAGAAGTGTTGCCTGTGTATATGATGCTGAAAAGTAACAAACCAATTATCACACTAAAAGCATTTGAGTGGCGTCATTTAAGTGTTCGGAATCCAATCCTGAAACTTAAGGTTACTTATATGCGTTCTAGAATTCTTCGGAAATTCAAACCAGCCTTGTAAAATGATTTCTTTCATTCTTGAAATTTCGAGGTTATGCCCAAAAAATTTTAAAGAGGAAAAAAATTTTCGGTGCGTCGCTAACGCTATGCACCTTTACTCACAAAAAAATTCTCCCACTCCATCTCCCCCCCCCCTCCGGGCGAAAATCTGGGACCACCACTGGCAAATAGCTATTCAGCCCCTAGAACAAAAAGATATCAAATAAGGAAGTAGCGGGTGCGGGTAGTTTCTCACCCGAGCCATATTCTCGCACAGCGGAACAAGAACAAAGTTAGTGACTGCCATGGCTAAAATTTGGTTTATCCTGGAGATAATGCAATATGTAACTTTTGCACATGGATAACTTTTGCCATTCCAAGCATGCAAAAACGTCTGCATAAAAATGCAAACAGGAAAAGAGGATTGGGATGTGATCAATAGTGTCTCTACTTCGGGACATGAAGGAGCTAATCAGATATGCGCTACACACGATTATTCTAACCAAATCATCCTGCGCATGAAGAAACCTTGAGCGACGAATTTTCCTCAAAAAACTCTGAAATTTGTAATCTGCTTGCGCCACATTCAACAAAGTGCATGATGCGTACAAAACCCACAACGTAAAAAATATAATAGACCATTACTTGCATGAATTCAAAAAAATCAGCGATCTATTTTTTTCAGAAAGCAAATTTAACTCTTTGCCACTTCTTTCCACTTATCTTACTCAACCGCTAAAAACCTTTTCACATAAAAGTCACCAGAAATTGGTAGCAAAGCTGCAAACTTCACAAGCTCTGCATACTTCATAAACAACAACAGGGAATGGGAAAGATGTAACACGGCGAGGAGAATGGAGGATAATTCAAAAGGACTAGACGATGATATATCTTATTTGGCGAAAGTGTCAGAGGAAACGTGAAAGAAAAGAAAGGAAAATGGAAAAGGGGAAAAGGCGGAGAAAGAAGGCGCCCCTTCGTTTGAGCCTTTGAGGGAAGATTCCACCAACGCTGATGTGAAGTAATTCTTGTTGCGTTGTTTTTATGTCTGTGCTGATTTCAGATATCACATCTATACTTGATTTTTATGACGGTTTTGAATGAACGCGCTAATTAGCCAAGAGATTTAATTGCTAACTCAATGGAAAAAGGTTGGGTTTGACGAGCGAGCAAGATCGCGTTTTTGCATGCCTGTCTGTAGCACATCTTTGAGGGAGCGTACAGTCTGCCCCAATCGGGATCAGGCCGAACCGTCAGCTGAATTTGCGCGCTCGCGGCGCTAGGGGTTTGCGCTGGGTGCGTAGCAAGTGTTACCCAGACAGCCGCCTGGTGCCGCAGCCAGCCGCCAGAGCTGGCACCAGCCCCACGGCTGAGCTACCGTAAGCGCGCTCTTCGTCCGCAACCTCTCGCCGAGAGATTTTCGCAGCAGCCGCTGCATACGCGCGCTGTCGCAGAGAGCGAAAAGATTGAGGACAGAGCAGACTAGCTAGACGCAGAAGTGGCGCGAAACACTCACGACGCGCACTCCCGCCAAGCCAGTTATGGCCTGGTTAGAATTGGGGCAGACTGTATGTATCGTCAATCCGTTGACCGCATGGAATCCCCAGAACCTGCGGACCATGCGCGGCGCGGCTAAATTGTCGCTAGAGCACTACTCGTACAATGGCGAATTTGTACTGGAGCAAGCGTTTTGCTTCGCGGCGCATGCTCCGCAGTGGTCCAACTCGTGCGGTCAACGAATCAACTATACATGTAAACGTATATTTATGATATCCTCTTTGCTTTGCCTAACTCGTGCCAGGCCTTGACTATATTTATCAGAAAATCTGCTATTCATGGTCGAATAAGCGATCCTCGCAGTTTTCGAAAAACAGAAAGTTCAGTGTGACCAAACAGTTATCCGAGAGATTGTGCTCGCAAAAAAATTTTCCACTTTATTTAGTGGGTTTGGGCATCTCTAAAAATCAAAGGAAGAGCTATTTACAGTCCACGTCCTCCCTTTTCCGTAAATGCAATGAGCTTCGCGCCATGTTCGCGGCGCGTATGACTCGGGCATTCAAGTGGGCCTCATCGATTGGAAGTCGGCACGCAGGATCCTTGCGTTGCGCATGCGCAGTTCCCATGCGTAAGGGACTACGCAATTGACATCGACTGTAGGCGGAGTATTATCAAAAAATAATCGCGGGTAAAATGCATACATTCAGACAAGATTTTGTAGTTAACGAAGATTCGATGACGTTTTCTGCTCCGATTGATCTGTCGTTGTATTCAGATAAAAAACATTTTCCGAAGCAACAGGTGGGAAAGTTGTCTTTCCAAAAACTACCCACTAATTTACCCATCCAATTTGGCTTTTCGTCACAAAAGTGTTCGAATAACATCAATAACATATTGCCATTTTTACGACGCCTCAACTAATTTTGCTTTGACATGGCGGGAAGTCCAAAAAATATTCAAAGACTTTCAGACTATTGCAGGTTATTACCCTATTTTCAGGTGTATAAGCCGCACCCTTTTTGCTCTAAACGCGAGCAGACCCAGGCGTGCCACCGCGCATGTCTCGCGAAGCGGTTGCCTTAGCATACTGCTCTCACTTAACGCGCTCCATGATGACAGTCAGGCTTTTGACGTGTTCGCCTTTAGAGCGAAAAGGGTGCGGCTTATACACCTGAAAATAGGGTATATCATAGCTGTAGCAAACAGCTCTATCATGTAACTCAAGTTCAAGCATCCTAAATCAACGTTCTCAAGAAACCCCAAACAAAGCCTAAATGATTTTTGGTTGTTCAACATTCAGTTTGTTTAACATGCTGAAATACGCTTTTACTCCAATTTTCAGCTCCTCCACCTCCCCACCCACCCCCCCCCCCCCCCGCTCCCCTCCCTAGGTCTAGAAATGCAAGAACTAGCAAATTAGCACTAGACATACAGTATAACCTATGTGACCCGCTCCAACTGAATGAGTCTAATTGTACTCGCTATAGAAACAGAGTTACGCTTAAGGCCAACCACAAAAACCGATATATAGGCAATAAAACAGAGTTTACACTTTACCTACATTTAGAGGCTTTCTGCATAGGATCATTACATTTATCGTTTGAGCCAATGATAGCATGCTTTTGTAGTATAGCAATAACTCCACGCTATGTTTTATCATTACCCCTGGTATGATTGTTTTGTTCAGATTTTTACGACACGAACCGTAAAGAGACATAAGCATGATTTATTAACCATTCATCGATACTGCACATGCCTTAAATGTTCTCACAGAAGTGGGTATGGAACTTGTCTTATACGTCAAAGCAGTACAAAAGTTCATAAGAAGAACCAGTCATAACGTTACATAAGTTCAAGGAAAGGCTTGAACTGATTATACTAAAAACTTAACAATTGCTATTGTAGATTTCTTAGGAGTTATCACAACTCTTCGCCAACAAACTCTTGAAGTCAGAGAAAAACCTCTGGAACTACGCTAAACAAGCTATACGGGAAAAAACGGCACAAGTAGATCGGGATAACACTGAGAGCGAGAAGTACCGGCAGCACAGATAAGAAACTTCGGCACAGAAAAACAGCCTAGTGGACCATATCAAAACGTTCGGAGTAATCAAAGCAGTTTCATACCACCAGTAATAGCATCCACCTGCTCTACTGTACCGAAAATTCCCAAAACAGTGCGTGAACCAGGAGGTATCTGCGTGTAACCAGCGTCTTGAACAAGATAATACCAGCATCCCTGAAAAATCTACGTGAGCAACCAGTACGTAAAGATGCTGTTTTATCTGCGAGCATATCATGATCATAACATCTATTCACAGCTAATCCTCCAGAATATTTTAGTCTCAATCAAATCCTCATGAAATTGACCACATAGACTGCAACCCTTTCTAGAATTTCCGACATCTCACTTGAGTTTGTGTTTTCAGATTAACGGTTATCACATCCTACTTACATAGAACTAAGAGGCTGTGCACCCCCTCCCCGACCCCTTAACAAAACATCTAAGCAAGAAAGGTCTGCAAAAAAAGGTGGTCGGACGCGTTCTGTATGCTTGCTGGAAGGGAAAATATTCACATTCCATAAATTTTGAGCTATAAAGCCATTAAAGCTGAGTTGACGCGTTACATAGGCAGCAGCTGCGTACAGAGGAGAGGGTGGCGGCAGGAGGGCGAAGGAGGGGGACTTATATCTGCTATGAAAATGTGTAGCGACCTGTTTTAACTTGTAAATAATCAAAATAATGTCGAAAACTTTTTGGAAAGCCAAATAGCCCTACTTTTAGGTATGGGCCCGCAAAAATTTTGGGAAGCATCCCAGAAACATATTCGGAGTGCTTGGCTAACAAACGCATCTTCATGTGAAAAATTTTTTTGTCCCCCCCCCCCCCTCCGAACGAAAATTCTGGGTACGCCTGGGATGTGGGTATCCTCAAAGTGAGCGACATTTGTTCCCCAAAAGGTAAATGTGGAGAACTGAAATTTTTCAAGAAAAATTCTCCGTTATGGAAAACTGATTCAATCCACCAACTTCGTCTTTGAGGAAACTACTACTAATGAATTCAAAAAAAAGCGTCAGATATGGAAGTAACACAGATGAAGCTTCAGACTATCGTCATTGCAGCTTACACCATCTTTTGCAGCTTTGCATAGATCCATGAGCTCTTCAGTACTACTACCGCGCACAACAATCTTCACTTGACCATGACGTGTCCAAGCGTCGATGGCCTCACGTCCGGCTTCCGAATTCATAGCCTGGAGAGAACGCAGTGAGAGAAGGCTTGCTGCTATGGAACACGAAGATACATTAGAAAGGATAGCAAAATATCACTTGCCTGACGATAAACACCTAGTGTAGCATGCCCAACTTGTGCGGCGAGTTTTCCAGCTCCCATTTTCAGACTCATATTCGCTACCAGGACCATCTTGTGGGTGCGGCCCCCTAATTAAACAAAGATTGTTTTTCTGGTTAGAACAGTTGCAGCATCCTACTACAAGTAAACTAGAGAGAATGATCTGTATTAATCATTTTGGACTCATACGAATGCATACTACCACGGGCATGACTAGAATAAGAAGCCTACAAGTCCAGAAATGGGTGCAAGAAGGCACAGCACAGAATACACGCCATGGTAGAAAACAAAAAATATACACATTATCTTGGCCTCTTGCTGTACAACAACAAAAATAGTAACACATCTTTCAAAGCGTGGAAAATAACTATCAAAAAACCTGCTAAAACGAATACGAGCAACTTTTGACCACAGAACGAGTTTTGACAAGGCGCAGGTTACAAATCGCATACCACAGCTACCAATTTACTCGTATATTAGTGCGATAGAAGTGCCTAACACTAAGTCAACAACGGCAGTGAAGGTTTGACTAATGCCCGCTATAACTGCACTCCACGTGAGGATGAATGTATCAGATTAGTGTATGAAGTTATGCTAGCTACAACCCCAAAAATCTCAAAAAACTTAGGCATAACTCCAGATAAAAGTATTGCGAGGCAAAAACGGTAAAACCAAAGTGCACGGTAATAACATCAAAATCCCATACCATACGATTTTAGCATAAACCACTTGGAAGGGTTTGGGCAAAATATCGTAGTATATAGATGTACGATGTGCTACGATAATAGAATAATATACAGTCGGTTTCATCCCGGATTAGGCGAGACATTCTACGTGGAGCAGCGCATGCGCATCGCTGGAGGCTTCGCGAGCGCATAGCGCTGGCATTTTGCCAAGCAAAGACTAAGGAGATTGAAGAGACGCAGACATGAGTTCTCAGCACGATGGGATATACTGTAGCTGCGAAACGGCGCGAGCTGTTGCGAGGCGGACTCCCGCCAATCCAATTTCCGCCTAAAGCGGGTCGAAAGTTACTGTAACTAAGGCAGATTGAGCAGAAGAAGATGCGAGCCAACGTAAAAAAGTCCCAGACGTTCAAAAAGAGGAACGACTGACAAAAATTTGCTTTGTAAAGGTTAAATAAGGGTTTGAAGAAAAATCTGCAGCAAATGTGCATCTAATTTCAGTTGGAGACAGGTTTCCAGTGAAACCTTCACTTACTATGAGAAAGCACTTGTGGAAAAGCGCCAAGAAAGCCAGAAACTTGTTCACCGTCCTCACCTGTTGAGCTTGCGGCTGAAAAGATTATAGTCAGTCAAGATGAAATGACAAATACTAATGAAGAGTCTCTAAGCAAAGCTACTGAGCTGATGGAATCAATACTCCAACCTCCCATTTCGACATCCCCTTCCTCGCTGCTAGACGAGTTGTCTTCAAAATCGCTAGGATTCGATCTTTCAATTATCCAGTTGACCGCCTTAAAAAGCGGTTATCAACCATTATTTAACGATAATGAAACACTGTTTCCCTGTGGAAGGTGCAACTGACATAACATTTTTACTACTGTTTTACGGGCATAGCATTATTCATGCACCCACCAGAGCGATAAAATCATGATTTCGCCATAAAAAACTGTGCCGCCTGCGGCCTTTAGCAACGACAGTGATGGACGAAGTGCCAGAGCGCATGATTGATCGACAATTGGATTGATGGGGAGGAAAAAGAAGCACCACATCTGCTCACCTCTTCAACACCACTATTTGCTGTTCGGATCAAAGCAAGGCGAGCTGTAAAGTCGTCAAAGCCAAGATCCAGTAATTGTGCGTATAATTCGTTGCTGACCTGAAACTGCTTTTTATTAGCTCATAAATTCGTTCAAAACCGCGAATATCTCAGCTCGCTCCCGCAATCAACGAAAGAGAACTATCAAATTTGGACCAGAAACATTAGATGAAACTGTGTAGGAAGTTAACAACGGTGAAAAACTATAAACACATCTCATTAGATTAATCACAGTCATCGCATACGCGTGTATGCAATACCAGGATCTCCCCACCTATTGCCAATCGATTTTTGATGTCCATTTATCGAACGCACTTTGTCCGCATGCGACGAAATGACGCAAACACAAGAACTGACGTAAAGATGCTTTGCACTAAGCGCCAATCTACCATAACATGCTGGGTAAGCACAACACTTTATCTGACCACTTCTTAGAAATTTGAAGTCAGGCTTTACGGAAAGAGGAGAAGCAACCCGACCTGAACTTACTGAGCTTCAAGCTTTTTTATATATACTGGTTACCACATACTAACATACTGACCTGAATCCAGTAATAATTACGGAGTTAAGTAGAATGAAAGAGATGAAAAATAGAGAGAGATAGCGGAAAAACAACAAAAGCGATAGGACACCCAAACGAATCCTAGGTGTCGGAGACTTTACAAATGAATTCAGAAGAAACCTAGATCGCTGCAGAAAAGGCTACAAAGATGGACGTGATATAACGTAACTGATCACTGTAAAAAAATTGCCACTTTCTCAAGCTTGGAAGGCGCATTCGTGATTTGCGGATTGCAAAATCTGTAGATATGGCAAGCTAGGAGACTCAGTAAACTAGTAAAAATTTCACGTACCGAACTAGAAGGCTGTGGTTGCGCCTGCGGATCAGTAGGATGAGGAAGTTCTGGAATACTACTGATTCCAGTTTCCAATGAATTCTCTTGACTTCCTGCGGGAGGAGGTATTGGTACCTTAATATGCGAATCAAATAAGCTCGATTTTATCAAAGTGAAGCAAAAACCTCAGGAAGTTCACCCAAGCCAAATGGATCTGCGACAGTACTGTGATGCACTGGATCGGGAAGACTTGGAAGATTATCAACAGTGACTGACGATGGAGTTGGCGATCCTGCGAAAGGATTGATCAGTTTTTGCATAAAATTAGTGGTCGTTGAAGCAAAAGCTTATGATCAAAGCAGAGTTGTAATGACACAAATCTGAAGAGCATCTTTAAAGAATAAGGTAGGCGCCAGACTATCCGGTCCAAACAGTTCTCCGGTTTGCCCATTCGCTATTGAATAATTCGGTGATCTGACCAATAACGAATGGAACCGGTTGAACCGATTAAACTGGGTAAGTCTGGCACCTGCCTAAGATTTTAATGGGAACAACTAATTAGTAACGACGCTCACCTCGTTCAGCTCTAATGGATGCGTTATCGGGTTCTGGAGGATTATCTCCGACGTCAAGGGTAGCGTTAGATGGAGCTCTGAGATCAAAGAAGGAATTTAGAAAATAGAAGAACGAGCGGCTTTACAACAAAAAGATGAAAAAACCTCGGAAGATGGTCTTCGGGAATCTGCTCCGCCATCAAGCTGCTTCAGGCGCTGCTCACGCAATCTTCTATTTTCCTCCTTTTGGCGAGCTCTGAAATTGTAATGCAAGCATTCGAAGTACTCACACCATGACATACTTTATTTGCTCGTATTCTGCGATATCTTCAAACTCTCGAGGCCCCCTGATATTCTCCCAGTGCTCTGTGTCGAGACTCGCTACCTCCTATAAAATTCCTTGAAAACAAGAAGCACATCAATGACTAACAAATTCTCACCTTGTACACGGTGTCCACGGTCACGTTTTTCCGAAGTTTCAGACCGCGCTTTTCGAAGTCAGTTCTCTGGAATAAAACAAGCTTGAAAAGCATTGCTGCAACAAGAATACGTTTGCCAAGTACACGAAACATCATTTCAAGAAACTGATGCAAGTAAGTAAATTGGCGGACGATGGAGAAATGAGAACGAATGGATGGCCAGAGAACGAACCAGATCTTCTAGATTGGCGTCCTGCTGCTTCAGTTTACGAAAATCGTATCGAACTTGTTGAAAGTAATGTAGAACGTAAGCACCACCACCAACAATCGCGAAAAACGGTAGCCCAACGCGAATGAATTTCAAATTCCGATTTGGCATCAAATCGAACCCTAAATCATAAAGAAAGCATCAAAGCACTAGACAATCTATGAATTGGATAAAAAATACTGCACAAAACCGAGCACCCAGTAGGTCAAAGATTATTCGGCAATACTTTAAAAGTCAGCTACTTTAGCAATTTCTACTCAGACAGAGCTTGCTAGGGCAGATTACTGAACAGTGTGCTGTTGGATGCCCTCACGGAAAGTGCAAAAACAAAGAGATAGCATTTGCAAAATCCACACACTTGCACAACTCAAACATCTAAACTCCCCGCATTCGTAACTTCACTCATTCGAACTCAGGATACGAATGCTCAGAATGTCTTGACTTAGTAATCTCAAAAAGCATTAATACCTGAGAGATTCTACAACATCGACGCAGCATTCGCGTGACTGAGAGTGACGCCGAACTCGGTGTGTTTGTCGCAACGACGTTTACGTACACGCAACAGGATCTACGGCAACGACCTTTGCTCGATCTTTGAACTGCACTGCCGAATTTGAACCGAATTTCGCTAAAGGGGGTTGTGCACAGTGCAATTTTTGTGAATTCTGAGAGTGGCAGTGGGGTTCTCTGGTCAACTTACGTTAGATATCTGCGACTTTTGCAGCAGTTGATGGTACCTGCAACGCATTCAAATAACGAAAGGCAACCTTTTCAATAATCGCTCATAGTCAGGAATTCGGAGTGTCTTTCAACTTGGGGTTGATAACCATTACCTAAATACCCGGGCGAAAATTATTGGGGCAAAAAAAGAAGAGGAATACTGAGAGGGAGAGAGAGGTTAAAAATCGATAATTGGGTTGGGAAGGAAAGAATCGCCTTTTTCGAGTTTATTCGGCTAAAATTGATATTTCTCAGGAAATATAGTGTGTACAAAGCCAATATTTCGTGGCTAAAGTTTTGAATGTTTGTGATGCACAGCTGCATTCTTGATTTCTAACCTTGGAAAATCTAGCAAGTGCATATATGGATGAGTGCTTGTGACACGAAGGAGCAAGTAGGAACTTTTTAGGATATTTTGGACTGAAGGTCCAATTTTTGGCGTCATAAATTGTTCATGGATATTGGCTCCGAACATTGTGCTAATCACGATTTATACTAATTAGAGGTTGTTTTGTAGAGCTTGCTTTGCTTTATCAGTGGTACCTTCATATCATCGCCTCCCAAATTCGCGTGGAGGCGGGTTACGGACTTCCCTGATTTTCAGGATAAATTTGTTAAACCTCCACGTTATAGCATTGTATTTCGTACTCTCTCGTTGAGCTTATGTCTAAAATCAGGGAAGTCCGTAACCGGCCTCCACACGAATTTGGGAGCTGATCATACATTTTTTCGAGTTCGTTCTGTTGCTGCGCCTAGAAAAACGACATTCTTTTCCCTTAATACAATATGTTTTCCAAAGAGGCTCGAGCACTACAACTGCAACTAAAACTATAACTGGTGCTGCCAAGACCGAAGCGATTGTTCCCTGGTGTTCGACCGTACACTGGAGCTGAATAAAATTTTGATTGGTAAGAAATCAAGTTCCTCGCTAAACTGGAAGCAAGCAGGCACCTTTACTCAGTATTGGAGGTGGTGAAACCCAGCTAACAGCGACCCTATAACCAATCGTAAGATTCCTAATCGCGCTGTAAAAGACTGTTTCTGAGCGAGAAAATTGCTCTCGAAGCATGTGAAAATGGCGTCTTCCCCCCAAAGTGGGTGGTTAATGAGTCCTGAATTCGACTTCAAGAAGCTAAAGCTTTCAAAAATGTTCTCATAATGGAATGCTTATGGCCATTTCCATCTAAAGCCTTATATTCGTTTTAAATTCTTCGGACCACCAAAGTTGATAGGGGAAGGACAGATTGGTAGGTGTTTTCTGGACCAATATGCTCGCTTCGAAATTCACCTTTTAATGCAGCATTTGGGCAACTCAAACATTGCTTTCCAGCTGCAGCATAGTTGAATTTCTGGTGCGTACGGTGGATCTGATTCAAATAAAAATCTATTTTTGTGGAATCGTCTTCTCTGGAGTGCCATGCAATCAAAATTAAGAGAGAACACACGTCTATTTTGCTTTCCATGCTCTAAATTCATAGAAAATAGTGGACTGTCAAAGATGCAAGCGTCAAGAGGTTGTCTACCTTAGATCGGTATCCATGTCGAAACTTTGTAGAAAACTCGAGTCGAGAAATTTTGACTCCCAAAAATATGCTTACTGTTTGACTGTCAAGTCTTTTGCTTCATAGTCTTTGGCCGCTGACCATTGGCTGAGCTGGCTTACTTATTACAGTATGAGGCAAATTATTGGGTTGTCCGGAAATTAATGCCCGTTTTGAATTTCAACCGCAATAAGTCATACACTCTTCACTTCTAAATAGATAGCAAAGTACCATTCGATAGAGCAAAGCAAGCTCTACAAGATAGCCATCTTGCTTTTGCAACAGCTTTGATCCATCTTAAGTTTCGAGCCAAAAACTAAAAAGACTCAGCAGCCCGAAAAATCGAAAAAAAAATCGTAACTCATTTCATAAAAATTCTACAAAAATTCTAATTTGCTTGCGTAAACACTTTGGCAAATGCACGAAAATTTCCGTTTCCTTGGTTTCTAACAGAGAAAAAAATACGGCAACGGCATATATTGATGTCTTATGTGGATAGTGTTTACGCAAGCAAATTAGAATTTTTGTAGGAATTTTATGAACTGAGTTACGATTTTTTTTTCGATTTTTCGGACTGGTGAGTCTTTTTAGTTTTTGGCTCGAAACTCGAGATGGATCAAAGCTGTTGCAAAAGCAAGACGGCCATCTTGTAGAGCTTGCTTTGCTCTATCGAATGGTGCTTTGCAACCCATTTAGAGATGAGAAGTATATGACTTAGCGCGGTTGGAATTTAAAACGGGCATTAATTTCCGGACAACCTAATACTTATCTTTTTTCATTACTGTCTTTACGGTAGGAACTCGCACCGGTAATTTACCTCTCACTGTAAATCTAAGCAAGCGGGCTCAAACAGACAAGCAAGAGAGCAATCAACGACCAAAACGATCAAGCAGTAGGTACATTTTCGGGGGCACCCTGTATCATGCGAGAGATTGTGCAGAACTTTTGCTCTGTATAGCAAGAGTAGAGCTAGCAGAAACAGTAGGGTTTGTAGCTTCCCCAAAATAGATTGAAACTAGAAAGGCAACATTGTGCCCGCTCACAAAAGCCAAAAATAAATCTTTTTGCTTCATTTTTATTTTTTATGAAGTACGTAGAAATGAACCTGAGCTATATACTTCTCAACGACCCCCACATTCTATTGAAGCCTAGACTAAGTCATACACTCTCGAACTTGAACTTGAAGTCTCAAGAGTTTTCTGACAATAATGGCCTAAAACTTCGTAATGACTACAATTATAAACGCATTTTGTGCAACCAAAACATTGGTTTTGCAACTATTGCGTAAAAGATCTTCCTGAAATCATAGTAATTCAGAGTTGGTTTTTAGAAAACCTGCTTCAATTAAGATTCAATCTCATCTTATCAAAAGAAGAAATTGCCTTACTTTTTATGTTTGCTGAGTGATGTCTTCACGTCGAATAAATAAATGTGCTTACATCGTAGTGAATTCATTTGTTTCAAGCAGTACTCTATATATCATCTCTTTTGTGCCTTAGCCATTACTGAAGATTGAGGACTTTGTAAAGTTGTTGCGATTTCAAAGCGGATCTCGGTAGCAAAGTTAGAGATAACTAGGGCGGGCGCTGGCTGATCCCATCTTACAGAAAAGTTTCATACCCTTTGAAGGCACCGTCCACCCAAATTCTCCACTTCCACATTTTTGTCGTTCCGGAGCCTTCTCATGTCTCCCTGATTCCGAATATGAAGTCAAGAATACGCGAAAACCCCGACAATCCCCGTATATAGGACCCACAGGCCGGCTTTCAGGAGCTGTGATTGGCTGGACGCGTACGGATGGGCGGGTATGGATGGGGAGGGCGGTGCGTGTGGGGGTCCTCGTGCATCTTCGTTATTCCGGAGCGATTTTCTCGTTTCCAAAGCTACATTTTGCGCTGCGACTTCACCATTGGCTTGATAGAGGGCTCTAATATCATATGCAGCCAAAATCTCAAGACCCTCAGTTTAGGATGGACGGTGCCTTTAAGCTCCAGAGATCTGTATTTCATACTGTCTTTAAAATTTTTTAAATGTTCCTTACTATGAACATATTGACTAGAGGCGTACTTTTGTAAAACAGCATTCTTTTCGTACGATCCACTACGATCCTCAGCGGCCAATCGTCTTGTTTTCAGAGTCACTTTTTTAAATCAATGATATTCTGAAGCTGTGGTAATCATCTGACCCAACAATGCTAGGCATGTTTTTTGGTAGGACCAATTAATGTGTCAAAGTACCCTAAAATCTCACAGATAGGGCCTCCCTGCAAAAAAAAAGTCCAAAGATAATTCTATGTAGATAAGGCCGCTTTGGACTAATCTGATAAGGTTTTAGGGTAGTCATAATGGAAAATAAGGACTTATTCATAAAGCGGGCTAAAAGGCAGCGTTCAGGAAAATCTGGATATACGGGGTACCAATGTGGAAAGTAATTATTGGGGCCCTAACAAAGACACTGCTCAAGCGGCAGCTCAAATGGTAAACTCACAGTTGAAATACCTCCAAACTGGACCCCGGGTTCGTATTCGCATGGATTCATGGCACAAAACGCGTGGATCCTCGCGCGAAACTGATGTCGCGCCATGAATCCATGCGAATACGATCCCGGAGTCCACTTTGGAGGCGAGTATCTCAACTGTCAGCTCACCATTTCAGCTGTCGCTTGGGCAGTGTTTTGATTAAGGCTCCAAGATTACCCTTAAAATGAGATCCCCATAGGCCCAAATTTTCCTGGACGCTGCCTTTACTGGTGACGGGCTGATCCGAGTCAAAAAGCAGATTTTTTGTAAGATTTTAGAGTAGTGAAATAATATAATACAAATCGAAACTTGGGTTATCGAAAACTTTAAAAAAACTAGGAACTCATTGTTTTGATCTGAAATATGTTTAGCATATTAAGCCAAGTAGATAGCACGACTTTGGGACATTTTCATTTTCGAGGAAAAATCACCTTGAAAAAAGTTTGTTGGCCGCCGGCGATCATCGGGCGTGCATAAAAAAAGTTGGAAAATGCGGTTCATACAAGACGCTCCGGAATTTGTCCATAATAAAGGGCTCTAGAATACCTGAAGTAGACACTGGTTCTCACGAGCTTCAAGATACGAAATTTTCAAACGCGCGCTCCTCTCCACAGCAAGGAAGTTTGCATGTGCACCTACGTTATGAACTAGATATGTAAGTCGATCACTGTTTTTCTCTCGTTTTAGGTAAAGTTCGGTAAATTTTGGTAAACTAGCTTTAATTAGGCTTTAGTTACCCAAAATTCTTCATCTTTTGGATTCTATCCTTTGACATGTTTTGACGGTTAGTTATTTGTGCGGATATGGTTATGTATTCTTTTTCCGGCGTGACGGTTGCTCGGCAGGTCACAACAGTCAAGACCATGATTTTGCGGAAGAAGAAGCCGTTTGGGCCCTTAGATATCAAGGTAGTACCAACACAATGTTTAGGCGGAAACTCTGCAGTTTGCCTGCAGACCGTGGCTTCAA